TGTAGATGTGGTTGGATTCTGGATCATAATAATGTGTCCATATTCTTCTCTGTTCTGCTAGTGGTACAGTCCAGGCTCCAAGTGGTTTGTTGAGGTTCAGGTTTCTCCAATTACAGAGTAAGTTGAGGTCTTGTTTCCATGCTTTCCATGCTTTTGCATTGGGTCGTTCTTGGTTAACTGGAATGTCATCTGTCTGACTGACAATGTTTTTGAGATCTCCTGAGTGCATAGCTTTGTCGATCTTTGTTCCGCATGCTGTTGTTATGTCCGATAGCAGAGTAACATTGAGAAACATTCTGCAGTAATTGATTCGCTTGAGTGCTGTCTTTTTGAATTTTCCAGATTGGAGTACCAAATCCATTATGAAGATATCATTTTGTCGTTGGGGCATGGGTTGCCAAGTTTGATGGTCGCGTCAATTGTTTTCAGATAGTCTCTCGTGGAGGAGATCCATTTGGATTCTAATTGGTGGAATGTGGTGGTTGTGTCTTCAAGAATTGGGGTTGATGTGCCACAGCAGAATTGTGCCCATGCCATTGCTATGTGCAACATGAGTCCTGGTTGGGAGTGTGGTGATTTCCAGAACTTTGTGAATGTCCTGACTTGTCCGTATCCTTGGTCATCAAAAAGGTGGAACAGGCCTGCTCCGCCTAGGAAGAGTGGTCCATACAAAACATCAAGGGAAGTCTTCCTGAAATTCCCAGTTTGGTTTTCAGATGATATCTGGCTTCTGCCAATGTCCTCCCCTGGACGATGCAAATCTTCTTGTTCATGCCATACTTGCGGCTTGCCACATTGGGCCAGGAAGCATGGGATTCTGTCATAACAAGATGTGGCATCGTTATCGAAGTGTATCAGGGTTTTTCTGGTGAGTCGTGCAATCTCGTACTCAAGCTCTCTCAGAAACACCGCATCAAGAGCCTCTTTGCCTGGTTACGAACCGAACTGACTCTCACTTATGAAACCGTTGTCGCATGCGTGATGCAGGACTGCTCAGCACTTGATCCCCAGGATTAATGCCGGTCTCTACCGGAGCGACTAAAGTAGCGACTAAGCCATATTTTGTAGTTTAGTCCATAGTTTAGTCTCTTGGGGTGGTGTCTACCCAAGTGACTAAACGTCATACGGACTAAAGCCTTTAGTCGAAATGTTGGTTCACTGACTAAAGGGAGGCTGGTTAGTCGGTGAGCGAGCGTAAGGACTAAAGCTTGTTTAAGACCAGCAAATAAATCCAACAGAAAACAATACAACTGCATGCCACCGAGTTGGATAACAAAATCAGCCTCATTGCACAGCCTCACTATCAGAGCATCGCGACAGAGCTGATAGAGTAGAGGTGCAAAGGATCGAACGATCCAATGATAGTAGAGGTGCAAAGGATCGAACGATCCAATGATAGTAGAGGTGCAAAGGATCGTTCGACGATCGAATGATAGTAGAGGTGCAAACGATCGAATGAATGATAGTAGAGGTGCAAACGATCGTTCAACGATCGAATGATAGTAGAGGTGCAAACGATCGATCGAACGATTGAATGATAGCGGTACTAGTAGTAGAGGTGCAAACGATCGATCGAACGATTGACAGAGGAGAGGTGCATTGCAATGGTGTGTTTTGAGTCTTGTTATCTCAAAAAAGTAATCACTTTGATTAAGTCTTTGTTTGAGTCCTATAAATCCACCATGCTGATAGAATATTGGTAGCCCACCAAGCGATCACTTTTGTTAAATCGTTTTTGAGTCCTTTAAGTCCAGCACCTTGCAATGGATTTAGTCGCTGGTGTTTGTTTAGTCCCACGGTAGACACCACGTTTTGACTAAAAACTCGACTAAATTGTTTAGTCCAAAATTTAGTCATCTGCTGGTAGACACCACCATTACTAAAGGATAATGACTAAATCTTGAACTAAACAACCACCTAAAGGATTCCTCTAGTCGGTCCCTTAGTCGCTCCGGTAGAGACCGGCCGAAAGTTGAAGTCTGCTTCATACAGATGTATAACGCGCAATCTGTGTATTTTTGGGGTGCCTGGGTCTTTCTGTAGCATGGCGTTAACCACCGTTTTCCACGCATTGAAGGTATATCCAAATTGGATCGCATAGTTCAACAGCATGATGTGTCCTTCGAAGATGGCTTGTCTAATCTCATCGATTTCTTCGATCTCCTCTTTTGTCAGATCCAGGTCTTGCAAATCAACAAAATAGGCTTTCAAGTGGCCCAAATGCATGTTGGAGCCTGGTGATGTTGAAGTTTTCTCGTCCCAAGCTTTGATTTTTGCTTTGTACTCTTCAGGATCGATTGGGGCCTTGATGGAGTCTGGCTCTGTCACATATTGCAGTGATTCCATGAAAATTTTTGTCATTTCATCCATTCCATCTGTGCCAATGGTGCCATCTAGAATGGCTTCTGCTGTGTGGCATGCCCCTTCAAATTTCATTGTGAAATCCGTCGGGGGACTTGTGAGGTTGCAATCTTTGGACTGACCAAAGTGTTTCCTGTTTCTCTCTTCCAGTAGGGCTTCAATTACCTCCGGAGCATCCTCCCGTTTCCAGTTCTGACATGTTTTGGGATCTTCTGCTGGGTCCTCTGGTACTAATAGGTACGACAGCCCTCCTTGCTTTTCTGGATTCCGGATGTTGTCAATTTTTCGGAAGACATTGGAGACTTTCTCTGCTCTTCGCATTCCCCGAATCCTCTTGGCTGCTTTCGAATTGCCTTTGGCTTCATGTTGTTGGATCATGCGCTGTTGGTGAGCTCTACGCAGCTTCTTGGTTCTGATTTCCTCTTTCACTGCTGCTTTGAATTGCTTGTCAATTTGTTTCAGTTTCTTTTGGCACTCTCGTTTGGTAGCTGGGAGAGTGAAGCCGATTGAGCCCAATTGAGATCTATATGTTTCTATGTTATTCTCCAAGTCATATTGGCTGTTGAATTGACTGACTGCCAGTTTCAGTATTGTGTGGATGTTTCTGAGTCTAGCCAATTCTGGGCTGTAAGGGGCTGGCGCGTAGGTTTTGACTCTGCTCCCCCCATAGCTGCTTGAGCTGACCAGTCTGTTGTACAGGTCTTCTGCTAGATGGTGGTTGGGTTGGTGGATGTTCATGGCTCCCCTCAGTGTTGGGAGTTTGTTGCGCCATCGGTGATCAAGTAAGTGTTTGTCTTTCATATAAAAGTATTCTGGGATTTGGTGCAGCTTGGTCTTGGTGGAAAGATCTCTGATGGGCATAGGGGCTAGAGTATTGATTTTGGAACCGAAAAAGGCTTTTGTGTCGACATCAAGGAAGAGTCCCCTGTGATCACTCAAGATGTGAATTTTGAAGGGCTGATATCCACAGTTTTGAACTGCTGGGAGGAGTTGCGGATCAACAAGGATGTAATCAAGTGTGTTGTTGCTTCTAATATAGGTGGAGAAGTGTGCAGTTTGATGTTTGTTCATGACGGGTCTACCAGTTGACACTCACTGCAGAGTTTGGTCATTCCATCTGGACTCTCTCCCCATGTCTCATTGAGGTCTCCTCCCACAACTACTAGCTCCCCTTGGAGTTGGCAAGATTTCACAAACTGAATCAAGTCCCTGCTGTGATGGTGCCGCAGTTTGTGAGGTGCATGTCTGCCATCTCTGATGTAGCAGCTGTGCAATTGCTTTTTGTATGTCGTCTCGCCAACACTGGCTCCTGTGGGGTTGCCCTTAACAACTTGGTATGTTGATATCACTGTGATTGGTGACATTCCAGGCTTTCTGAATTTCGCAAATACCCATCTGCCAAACTTGTCCTCTCCCATTTCTAACACTGCTCCTCTAATTCTGCCAATTGCCATGATGAAAACTCCACCTGGTTTTACCAATGTTGCTGACTCAATTGGAGTTGAAGATGCCTTAAGTCTGTATTCGTCCCTTCCAAAAACTTCTCTGGCACTTTGATGGAGTCTGTGCACTGCTGCTTTCTTGGTGGTGTCTGCTCCTAATTCACTGCCCATGGCAAGATCTACTTCCATGCTCTTGTAGTGATAGCAGTTGGAGAACCAAGTTCCTTTCTTCCTGAGGTTGGGATTGCTATTATTTTGGACATGAATTCTTGTGTGAGTTGGGTCCTTGGGGAGATTCATGTCATCTCCAATGGGTTCATTCTTTTGGATCCATCTGATGTCATTGTCTAACATGATGGATGGGTTTCACCCTTGCTTGAGGCTTCACCTTGATCATTGAACTTGGAGTTGAGATTGTGTGCTAATATTGTCAATTCAGAATCTTGCATCGGTGATCCTTGGGTAGTATGTTTGGATGGCACTGCCTTGGCATAGTTTCCTGGGGTCCCCATTCTAATGTCTGGACTTGCATCCTTCCCTATCGGAGTGCCTTTGCTATCTTGCTTCTTTCTGGCTGGGCTTTTCAATACTTGATCTGAGAGTGCTGTGACTGCTGCTGTGAGTTGGTCAATTTGACTCTGCATGGTTTCTAGAGTGTGAGTCAGAGCTTCTTTGTCATATGTTAGGTTGTGGACTTTCATTTTGAGATCTGCGTTTTCATCTTCAAGCTCCTCTTCTCGTTGCGTCTTGACTGTGTTCCCAGGTGAACTGAGTTGGGATGTGGCTATGGATGATGCATCCTGCTGTTGTGGGTTGTTGAGGTTGGCTACTAATGCTTCCGCAAATGATGGTTTTTGGGCATCAATAGTTGTTGGTAGGGAACGCGCCATCTGGTTGCTAGCAATGCTGGATCTGCCAGTGGTTGTGGTGTCATCTGCTAACAAATGTTTGTATTTGCTTTTGATATCATATTCCTCAGAGTTGGCAGTGCTATTGGGGTAAATTGTTGCATCGTCCCAGCGTTGGAGTGGTGTCAATTTGGGAATTGGTGCCTGTGGATCCGTAATCGTTCTCAAGTTTAGGAATGTCTCAGTTGCTTTGTGGACTATCTCCTTGTCATTTCGGAGGCACTGCACGTAATAAGTTCCCGATTCACTTGTGTGACTTGTTGCAGCAATGTCGATGACCTTGTGTTTCAAATTAAAATCTGTGAGTCTTGCCTGGCGCAGACCTTCAATGAAGTCTCTGTTGGCTTGTGTGATTTTGACTGCTCCTCCTGAGTTGACAATGATATTGTGTAACTCCAACTCTTTTGCAAAATGTTTGGTTTTCTTTTTGAGTTCGAATGGAATGAAGTCCACTTCTTTGTATGGATTCTTTTTCAAGCAACCGAGTGCTGCAGAATAGTCTGCTTGGCCCACAACTGCCGCAACAACTGTTGATCCTATATCAGCATGTTTGATATTCATGACTTTGAGTTGCACTTTCATCGTGTCGGTTGTTTCCCCCATCAGGTGAATGTTTAGATGCGCCGCAAATCTCTCGCTTAAGTCGTTTCTCCATGTGTGTTTTGCCGACTTGCCCTGAAACCATCCGAGAACTTTTGTGTTGGACTCATTGAGCTGGTGTGTGGCCATGATGAATTTGCCTTCCTTTAGGAACTGCGAAAACAGGTTGTGCTCTCTGAGTGCTTTGAGGTCTGGGGTAATCTTGTCCGATGCAATGTAGAAGCTGAATGCTAACTTTTGTTTGTTGTTTTCCCGACGTTCCCAGTCTGTGGCTTTTACGTCCAGGTGTTTCTTGAGGAAGTCTGTTTTCTTATTGGCAAGGGCTGAGACTCCAATTCCATTCTTTTCGTCATTGTTGTGTGGCAGGATGATTGCTTTTGGGTCGATGGAGGCTATGATTTTGAACATGCTTGGAAGGTCCTGTGGACTCAAGGCACATTCGTCTTTCTTGCCAAATCTGAGCATGATGACTCCAGTTCGGTACTGTCTGTCTTCTTCAGGAAATGAGACTCCACTCGATTTTCCTTCTTTGCTTTTGCGACCCCGGACTTCAGTGAAACCTTCATCAGGGCCTTTGGTTCCCATGGCAAATTCTTTTCTTGCTTTTGCTTCTGCCCAGCGTTTCATTTCTTCTTCGGTAGGCATCATCATACCAGGCACAAATGCTGCTGCTGCTTTCACTGCTGCTGGCTTCTTGGCTCCCTCCTCAGCTGGTTTCTCGGTCAATTTTTGCTCATTTTCCTTCATTCCACCTCCCATAAATTCAGATAAATTATGTTCTGAGGCTTTGTCACCTTGGTTTCCTGGAATGCCGGTTTCATTTTTGGATGACCCCGTGGCCTTGGCTGTTGCTAGTGTTCCTCCCTGCTGAATGGCAGATGCCGATTTCTCTGCTTCCTTCCCGTTATCTCCCATGATATCTTCAACGGACTCACTTGATGGGTATCCTAACACAGTGCGTTGCTTGAATGGAGCTGAGAACAGTCTTCTGAGCAGATTGGCAGAGGTCGATGTCGCCGAATGCCGTAATGTCCACCGTTGCTTCCAAATCTTCTTGTTTCTCGTCGAATTTTCAACCAGTTGTCTCGGTACTTGCACCAGGGCCTTTACTTGAGATAACAGTGAGGTTTCCTTGCTCCTTTTCCTCTGAAACGATGTCGTATTAGTTCGCAGTTTTGTCAGTTTGTACTGTTTTACTATAGGGACCTAGAAAAAGACTTAACGTCTTCCCAATTCCGATATCTGTCCTTTCGAAATTGTATGCTACATGTAGTACTAGTAGTTGTGTTGTTGTGATCTGAAGGTTGCAATGACATGGTAGCACCACTACTAGCTAGTAGCATAGCTATTGCATGTTGTAGAGCTATCTACCCTTACCGGTAGTCAGCCATCGTACCAGTAGCACACGTACAGTCGAGTCGAGTCCAAAATATTTCTTAAAAGGTTGAAAAAACCAAGAGCCAGGCTCTCGGTCTTTAGGCTGGTAGCTTGTCTTTGCCTGTTCACTGTATTTTAATTAATAGTCTAGAGTCTAGATGCGTCGGTTGCATGCCGGCATGCCCTGTTTCCTCATCCCAATTGCTACGAAAGGGTTGGCGCTTTGTCGCACGACTTGACTGAGTCACTTCTTCTGTTCCCTGTTCGACGAACATCGTCGATCCCGACCGAACACGACGAGGCAACCAGCTTCGTTGCTCCTACAAGAGATTCTGAAGGCTCACAAAATCACAAAATCAAACATTAAAATTTTCGCTCTCTAGACTAGCTAGCGGTCTTGGTCTCACTACTACTGTCAAACACAATGTTCCGAGTCACGAATCCGTCCTCTGCCTTCTCCTCAAACGAAGAGGATCCCTCTGCGCTGGATGCATCCACTTGCCGCCAACAAGCCTTGGCTCGCAGTAGCCGCAAGCTGGAACGCCACCATCCCAATGTCAAGTTGCCACCTCGCTTGGACGAAAAGAGCAAAGAGGAACAAATTCAACGATGCTGCGACCGATTCAAGTCATTCCCGGCGACCGTCGATACTTTGATTCGAGCGTTGCAGACCATTCTGAGCAACCCAGCTGTTCGAAAATACCGGCGCATTGATCAGACCAATCCCGGGTACCAACGCAGTCTAGCCGGAGCTCCCGGAGCAGAGCAGTTGTTGCTGGCCTTGGGATTCAGAAGAATGACAGACGAACAAAGCTTGGTGCTGGATACTGTCAACCGAGATCTCCTGCAAATGGCGCTCGGTGCACTTAATGAAACCACCAAGACGCCAGAATACCAACACGCCAAGAAGGAACTCGTGTTTCGCAAGGATGTTGCGGCTCACCTTCGTGCCACTCCCACTGCACACGAGCTGACTGCACGTCAGACACTGCTCTCCAAAGTCCCCAGAGAACCAGCTCCGGGCCGAAGTGCCGTCATGATGATTCACTTAGGTGGTAACGACGACAACAGCAGGACATTGACGCGTAGATTTGACGGCGACGATACACTCCAGGATGTCTTGCACTGGCTGGCGGGAACTGTGGGAACAATCTTTTACCAAAACCTCGTGGAAAGCCGCTCGTGGTCATTGGTGGATGTCAATCGGTTGGGAGAAACACCCATCAATTGTGATGCACCAGTTGCCGCCATCACTACGTTACAGCATTTGGGTTTCTGGCCGAGCGGAAGACTTCAGCTCCGCCCCTCAACGGTGCATTGGATGAAACGGCAAAACACAGACTCGTTGGAGATGGGAGTCTCGCGAGGCTTGGCATCAGCTCCCAGTGAGACCTTGAAGTACATTTGAGAACTTTTGGAACTGGTCGCCAACCGTACCCCAAGCATCAAACACAAAAAGGCGATTGATTCAAGGTTCACTGAGAGAAGAAGACGGTAGAGATCCCTAAAACGTGTGTACAAAACAAATCATAACTTTATAGATTACAATGGTCCTCTTCTACAAAACGCTCGTAGAAAGAATCAGGTCCAAGGGGAGAGCCTTCTATGGAAGGGAATCCAGGTATACAGACAGAGATAGAGAAAGGAATCGAATCTTCAATCTTGCAGTGCCAAGGCAAGAATAACTCGGAGACGGTGAATGAGGATCCAAGTAGACAGACATACTTCAAGTTTGTGCATCTTTGGACCCCCGCGCCACGAAGAGTGTTGCTTCTAGCTAGCTAGATAGCTAGTAGTTGGCCATTTCCATGGTCAAGTACTCCTGGACCTTCAAGTAGACGGATTCGAAATTCTGATGAAAATCGTGGAGTAGTTTCCAGTTGGGATGCTTGTAACAAAACTCTTGGCTCTTTTCCTCGGGCACAGGTCCAATGGTATCCAGGACATTTTCCACCACACGGAGGAGCACTTGGGTAAGTTCTCGATGATGCCTGCCCAACAATACTTGGCTCGTGTGATCGTCGCTCTTTTTCAAGTGTTGGAGACTCTCTTGAATCTGTGCAATCGACGACGACGCATCGTCGCCGCCATGCTTTCGCTTTTGGGGTCCTTGCGACAAGTACACTTGATGACCACAAATGAGACAGTCGTTCCACGAAAACTGTGTCGGCATGGCATATCCCGTCTGGAGCTTGTAGAGCTGGCGCTGGAGGTAATCCCAGAGAATGGCATTCCACACATGCGGCGATGCCCGGCCTGTGTTGGTATCGAATATCATTTCTTCGTGCGAAAAGAACCCCAGACCTGCTGCTTCCTGGGCGTTGTCTCGGGAGGAAATGACAAGGGGCATGGCGGGTATCGCCGTCCAGTCGGGACTGGAGGCATCAAAGAATCCGTAGGAACAGAGGAAACGAGCCGGTTGAAAGCGGTAGCCATAGTTCATGTAAATGCCTTGACTTTTGGCAGTGCTGTTGGTGGCAGCATCTTGGTTGGATATCTTGATGAGAACAGGACCGTCGGGAGATTCTTGGTGTGGGAATTCGACCGTGGTGCCACTGGATCGGTGGTTGAACATGTCCCCTACACAAAGGAGACAGGTAACCTCTTGTCCATTGTGGGTTTGAATGCTCATACATCGAGTGGTATAAATGGAGTATGCCCATTGGATGGTACTTGGGCTGTACGTATGGGAAGGAAGAGCTGTCCGGAGCACAAAGAGTAGGTCTTCCCAAATCTTATCCGCTTGTTGGATTCCGAACTTGAGCCCTAACTGATTGGCATACTCGCGTTCCACCGGATCCCAGTACATGGGTGTCTGGAAGGTCGTGGGCAGGGTTTGGAACCACTTGTACCACTTGCTCTCTCGGCCTTTGGATAACTCTTGAAGGACGAGCAGTACCAAAGTAAAGTCTTCGACCAGGTCCTCGGGGGAATCACTTCCAGGAATCGGTGGGGATTGCTCTTCTTGATCTTGTAGCTTCTTCAAATGACACGCTTCTTCCACTTTCTGCTGCAGAGAACTATCCAGCATAGAAGACATGAGAACGGACTCGATTGGAATCTCTAAGAGGGTTGTATAGCCTTCGTCCTCGTCGTTGCTGTTCTGTGTGGATCGGTCGGTGTTGTTCTTCCAGGATACCCCAATGGATCCAGTTTCGTCTTTGCCCAGCTCAATGTCGTCGCTGAAATAGATTCCGTTCGACTCGGCCCAGTCTAGAAGGCCTTCCATGATGCTGCTTGTTGAGAAGGTAGTCGTCTAGAGCTATTCTCCGTTTGCCATAGATATCGGTACACTGCAAACTGCTGCTGCAGCAGATTCGATTCTGCTTTTCATTTTGTGCTCACATAATCTGTCTTTCTTTTTGCGATCTTGGCACAGTCCACCTTTCGCGGCTTTCTTTCCTTTCGGGACTGTACAGTCAACTCGCTCTAATATTACTTGGGGGGGATTTCGGACTTCGGGTAATATAATAGAGAGAAGTAATATTAGGCTTTTCAAGGGCCGGTTCCACTAGTAAAGTACGAATGGATAGAGCCGTCACGGCGCCGTTCATGTTGGTCTAAGTCGGATTGGAGGGATTGGTATGGTTTGCTTGCACTTGTTTTGTTGCTGAGAGAATTGTTTTTGTCTCCTCTCTGCCATTCTGCGCAAATCTCGCGAAAACACCATGAAAAACCCCACCGAAGATTTGCGCGGACTGGCAGAGAATCGGACAGGCAAGGAGAGGTGCGGGGCTCCGGTTGGCCTCTTATTGGCACCTCATCGGCATGCATTGGCATTTACATGTATGTCTCTGTCGAGTTGGATGGTTTGCGATGGATTGCGAGCGATTGTTTTGCTGCTACGAGATTTGCGAGGGTACTGACGTCATTCGTCATTCACGGATATGCGGGACTGGGGGGGGATCCGAAGAATCAGGTAATATAACAGCGAGAAGTAATATTAAATAAGTAATATTAGCGCGAGTAGACTGGAGAAGGAGTCACAGCCAAAAGGTCACTTATGACCGTTACGGCGCTTGCTTCGAGTGCCGCTTGAACATCAAGCAAGCACTAAGGCAAGATGAAGCGCGATAAGCATCTGTGCAGTTTCAGCCCTGGTACCAGCGGTACCGGCAAGCCCAAACCCTTCTGGAACGCCAATATGGTAGAAAGTATCAACCAGCCTCTTCCTCGCAGCAGATGGATACGACTGGACTATGCACGCAATATGACGAGAAGCCCAGGACGGGCGCCAGCCTCTTGGACCACTCCACAAAAGCCATTGAAGGAAAACCGGTGCTGGGGCCAACAAATGTAAGGATTGCGGTGCTGGGGCAAGCCTCTCAAGCAAATACAGTACTGGGGAGAGTCGCTGATGCAAAAGCCAGTGCGGGGCTAAATGTTGGGGGTGTTGTAGTGTTGGGGCAAATCCATTGAACGGAATCGAGTGCTGGGGAGAGCGCACTATTGCTGTAAGGTTTGCAGGTGCTTTTGTAGAGATTGCAGTACTGGGGCCAACCCTTGATGGACTTGGGGGGAACTATTGTAGGGATTGCAGTGCTGGGGCTTTGGAAATCCATCGTACCGGGGTCTGCAGGCTGATTGATTCTCAGCTTCAATGCACGACTGATGACAACAGCGGTCCTTGCGCGCTTGATTCTGTGCCATACACCTGCTCCCACAGTTACTAGTAGTTTGGAGCAACGGTACTCTAGCTAGTATATGCGGTAACACGTCGCTCGCCTGAATGTTGCCTCTGCTTGCTACCTAGCTAGCTAGAGCCGCTACTAGGATGTGCCTCATGGCTCTCGTGTTCCTGCCAACACTATGAGCTCACGTCATTGGGATGATCATGGTGCTCTTGATCTCTACCGCTAGTTTATCCTCTGCCCCCCTTCCCGCATTTCAGTACATGTCATTGCTCACTCCTTTCCTCCTTGGCTGAGTTGGTTCGCTCTCCTGGATGTTCAGCTCGCGCTCTGGCCGTGCGATAATGGTGGAAGACCAGCACAGCACCTCTGCCGCAGTTACGCCAGTGAGAGTTTCCCTCTTTTTTGTTCTACCTACCCAGTATACCTTTACGCAGGCAGTAGCTACCTCAATGGCTTAGACTTGGTTGTGTCGGTCAAGTTCTTGGCACCTCGATTCGCCTATCTCCCTACTACGGTGCGGAAACTCACCGTATCCGGGCGGTATCGGAGCCAAAACTCTTCAGGGTATATCTAAAGGTCAAGCCAAGCAGCGGAACTGCATGTACGTCCCTTACTCGCGACGGTGCCCAAAGGGCGTCAAGTCGTCTGCTGCCGTTTTACCATCAGGCCGAGGTGTCATTGGACTTGGCCAAAATGCGACTGCCATCATGCTATTTGCAACGATATTAGCGTGTCTAGACAACAATGTGAACGTCTACTGTATACATGTCCGCTATAGGCAGGCCGCTCAATTGGCAAGGCAAACCCCTGTGTTGTGACAACAACTGGTGCAGCAATCGTCACCACATTCGACTGTGGGAACTCCAGTTCTGGGGTTTGGCAAGCAGTCAGCCACAACCACAACTTCAAAAGTAACATCAAGATTTTCGCAGACAGACACTGGCACAGTGCCAGTGAACTGATTCCCATTCACCTCCAATCGACGCATGTCAGTGAGTGACTCAATCTCATTGGGAATCGTGCCATCAAAGTTGTTATTGGATAGGCTCAGCCATTGTAGGCCCGTCAAACGACCAAGCAATGGGCTGATAGTCCCAGAAAAGTTGCAATCATTGACCACAAAAGCAACAAGGTCTGTGAGTTTAGCATACAATTCTTTAGGGAGTGTCCCTTCCATATTGGAGTAGGCAGCACGAAATTCAGTCAATTGGGTTGCCAGACCAATCTCGGAGGGTATGGTTCCCGCAATGCTAGTGTGACTCAACAAGATAAGTTGCAAGTGCGTTAGCAATCCAATTTCACTTGGCAGGGTGCCCGTAAGCTTTAGGAGAAGGAAGGGTTGAAGAATAAGGCCAATGTTCAGGTTCTTCGTGGTTTCGGCTGCTTGTACAAAAGAAGAAGAGGGCCATAACTCGCATCATTCTGATCAACAAAAAGATCCCCCAAAGAACCCAAGTGGAACAAGTCCAGTGGCAGAGACCCTGTCAGTGAATTGTTGTCGAGACGAAAGCTCTTCAAGGGGGGCACCCCCACTTCAGAGGGGATTGTAGCTCCATCATGGAGAATTTCAAACCATCCAGCAGGGATGGGTCCTGAGAGTTGGTTATTGCCCAAGTGGAGCAACTCCAATGAAAAAGAGAGCAGCTTTGGTGGAAGCATTCCGCTCAGCATGTTGCCATGCAAAACTAGACGTTTCAGGTGTGGCAACTGAGTGATCTCCCATGGGAGAGGACCATTCAGCTGATTCCGCACTGAAAAATACATTCCTATGTGTGAGAAACAATGATGCAATCCACATGTTCGGCCTAAAAGACTTACGCATTTGTAGCCGAACAAGTGTCTTCTCTTTTGACAATACAGTCTCACAGGTCACTCCAGCCCACTGGCATTCATGACTGGCAGAGAGCCACTGATCACCCCAAATGGTTGATGTTGCTTCACCAGTTACAATGTCTGGTTTATAGCAGAACTTAATTGATGCGCTTCCTTGGGGAGTTGCTGGTGGATTGCACTCCTTCCATTGTTGATGCCTTGTTGTTTGGTAATAGAAGAGAACTAAAAGAAACCTCTGCACCAAATTAGGGGCGTCAAACTCTAGCTGCATTGGATCCTGGTTGACAATCCAATGAAAGGCACTTTGCCTTGTTTCCAGCATAAACTCATCGATTTCACTATCATTTCCTTCTCCAGATGCTTCCACATGTTGGAAGTATTCCTTTCCCAAAATGGTTTTCAAGGCAATTTCAATTGCAGGTGCTGCAACAGCATCTCTTGTTGTCATGGGTGCCACAGTCCTACTGCCATCCACATAGACTTTAGAACTGCAGTGTCCGGTGCCACAAACAGCCCCAACAACAATAGCAGTAACAACTAGAATGCAGAAGGTTCCTTCCATAAAGTAGAATGGCCAGTTGCTTCTCTTCTGACTGTTTTGGTTCCCATTATGAGCAGTAGCAACGGGCAAGTCATCCTCAGCTACAGGTCTTGCCTCTGCCAAGGACTCGGGTGGAGGTGGTTGGATATCTCCTCCTTCCTCTTCATCAACAGCAGTATTCTGATTCCCGCCTCTAGGTGATGGATTTGTTTGCCGTTGTAAGGGTCCGAATGGAGAGGAAACAGAATGTGCACCTGGTACACTCTCCTGCGCCTCAGTTCTTCTAGTAGCGGGGACGGATGGCATTTCCATAGGCTTTGTCATTTCTTGAATCCAATTTGGTGATGGCGAGGTGGTGTCATCATCGTCACTTGCAGTTGCAACCATTTCCGAAATGGCTGGGTTGGTCTGGTGAGTCGGATGGAGCTTTTGCCTGTCGGTAAGGGCAAAGGGAGCAGACTGATCAGAAATCTTTTGGGCCACCTCACCTTCTTTTTGCTCCTTCTGGATGACGGGGCCCATGCCACTGTTGGCATCTCCCTTGGTTTGAAAGGAAAGCTGTTGAACTGAGCAAACCTGGGTCTTCTGGTTGATTCGTGATTCCAAGCTAGCCATGGACGGAGTCTCAGGGGAGAGATCTTGTTTGGTAACTTCTTCGTGTTCTTTGAGGATTCGATTTTCATCGATTTTTTGGTGGTTTGTCTTGCTGTCATCAGTGGGCTCTTGGCATGATTCCTCCTGAAGTGGTGGCAAAACTGAAGGTGTCGTTGCCGGTCCTCTTGGCTGCTGTGTGACTGGCTGAAAGGTGGGATCATCTACATCATCGGTATCGTGTAGATTCTGCGCTGATGGGTACATGTGAGGGACAAATAGCTCAGCGTCTTGAAAGTGAGTGGTCACCGAAGAAGCACAGCTCATGTCTTCCGGTCTCGGGACATTGATCTCACTGGGTGGGTCCACTGCCGACTCATCCTCAACATCTTGTGGCTGCTGGTATTGCTGATAAGTGCTAGAAGGTACTAGTAGCATCCCACCAGCATCAGCACTGCCAATAACATGAGGAGTACTAGTAGACATATTGCTCGGTCTGCCGGAGAAGCAAGGCAGATAATGGGGTAGTTAGACTAGCTCACTTCCAGAGCTCTTGGAGGCAGTGGTTTTCGTCTCTTGGACCTGCGACCGTGATGGATAATGATCTGTGTGGATTGCTGTTACGATCGACAGTCGGGTAGTAGTACTAGTACATTGTAGAGTGTGACTGGACGAAGGTGCGAATGATGCCAGAGAACCAAGTGCGATCGTGAGGTCGTACAGTCATATGTCTCATACTCTAATGCTCTAATGTCACGACCACGCAATCTCCGATGGACAGCAGGATATGGGCCCTTACTTCTCCACTCCCCCATATTCCCCCGTAACCACATACTGTATTTTTAAACATCAAGACCCCTTCCCCCTTTCTCCTTTTACATGTACTGGAGAAGACCTTTCTCTGTCCCTGGATAACATCTGCGCTAACTCTAACCCTGCGGTGGTACTGAATCTGCTGTAGAACTGATCTCTCTGGAGGCAAACATTTCCGCTGCCTGGCCTGCTTGTAGCAGCAATATAAAGTGGACAGACATCAGTCCCTAATGGTGGATGGACTCCCTAGTGGCGGATGGGCTCCTTTACAGGCCTGCCTGGCTCTCAGAGTATGGTGGCCCCCCTAACAGTGGATTTCAAATCCCCCGCTGGTGCATTAGGCCTTTGCTTAGTTGTTGTTGCTGGTGTTGTTGTGGTGATGGTGGTGTCTACCACCAAGTGCTAGCTGCCATGTTTGTATGCACCATCTCATTGTTCATCACATTGCCATTTGGACCTGCAACAACCATTTCCAACAGCCATGTCGGCAAGTGCTTTAGAATCCGCTGCTGCTGCTCATGAACATGAAATTGATATTCCACGAATTCTTGTCAATGATGATGGCGAGCCAATCTCGGTGGAAGATGAGGCGACCAAGCCGATTCCTCCCTCACCGGTAGTAGCAGACTCTACTAACAAGAAAGCAGCCTCTACCAAGAAGCAAAGACACACCAAGAAAGCTGCCTTGGAGAAGCCTACAATGACAGAGTTGTATGGTATGAAACAGACGGATATTTGCACCATATCTACCGAGAAAGGCTTTGGTTGCATCTGGTCACGGTGGGCTGACTTCAAAAGCAAGAAACTGGGTCAATCAACGGTGATACCTCTATGGAAGCCAAAGTTAACTTGAATGGTCCTAGTTAAAGTTTGCGGCAGCAGTGGGGATATCTTTTGAGTTGGCTTTGCTGTGCGCAAGTACTGGCTAGAAAGTTTGCCGGAAGGCCTTTCAGAAGAAGAACAGATTTCCCAAGATCTGGGATCAGTCTTCTGTGGTGACGTATTTAGGGGGGATGCGCAAGCAGTGGTCAGCAATGCTGGCTGCTGGTTTCAAACTGCCACAGGCTGCCCATGCTCATTTCTCACTATGATGGTGCATGCACGCATGCTTGAAAACACTCTGCAAGCACTAAAGTCATACGGATTGTTACTAGAGTGATCTGGGTATTAAGACCTGCAGTGCATTAAGGCCCACGTAATATTCTTGGGATTGTACAGTAATTTCTATACTACCTAAACCTAAGACCCACCGTAGTACGGTGCGGTCCAGCATACTACTAGGTTGGGGGGATTAGAGTAGGGAAATTATCTACGGAAGCCAGCCGGGGCCAGGCTTAAGCAAAGAACAGTCGAAATGCAGGACTAGGTTCTGTGGGATCAGGGGCAAAAAATTGAGGACCAGTACGGGTATGCTAGTAGTAGAGTCTACTAGTAGTAGCTACCCATAGCTAGCTAGCTGGCTATGTTAGAGCAGTTTCTGTTGGATCTCTTGATGTGTATGCAGCCTCACTCTATCAGCTACTTGGCTGTGTCGATAGTACATGTATGCATGGAGGAAGGAGTGTCGCTTGAGGATGTCGATACGGTACCGGTACGGTAGAGGGAAGTGTCGATAGAGCTACCAGGTACCATACGATACCCAGAGGTGCCTCGCAACCATAGAGGTGCCAAGTATTAATACATTCTAGAGGACAAAGGAGTGTCAATAGAGGTGCCTACCGGTATGTGGTGCTTCGTGAGCTTTCATGATCGACCGTAGAGGTGCCCGATAGAGCCGGTACCGGTACAGTAGGATCCTACGTAGACTCAGTACCAGGGGCTACGTGTGACGTCATTCGGTCTTAATATGTGGTGAAAAGAATTGGCCTGTCAGAGGGTCGATATCTTCAACCGTCCATAACTCCCCCAATAAGTACACTATGAAGATGAGATTTTTTTGGCTTACTCAGCAACATGTGTTCTGTCGGTTCCCCTCTTTACATGTACTATATTCGATATACAGCCCTGAAGAGAATATTCCGCGAAACGGTCGGTCGTAAAGCCCAGATCACTCTAGAGCTACTTTCTCATCTCAATGCACGACTGATGAGAACAGAGGTGCTTGCGCGCTTGCTTCTCCAACAGCTTCTCCCACTTTTTCGAGAGTTCCGTGACGCTGTGACGAGTAACAAGGCAGTGAGCAACAACCACAACGTAAAAAAGCAATGGCGAACCAAATATTAGCCGATGATGATCTAGACCAGGCGCTGGACGCCTTGGATGTGGAACGTAACTTTCTAGATGAAGACGTGGAGAAAGAAACAGAGCCACCCGAGCAACCCAACAACCGTGCGGATGAATCGACTGGACTTTTGGTGGACGGTGGTACGCCAGTGGAATGTGAAGACGATATCTCGGTGGAAGACGGAGGGTGGAGTCCGTTGCTGGTTGCGCTCGCCCTCGTGATTGCTGTAGTTGTTGTTGTTGTTGTTGTTGTTGCAGTGATCATCAGTATTCCCTTTTGGATTCTCGTCTTGGTGCTTCTTTTGGTTCTGTTTGTAATCGCCAGGACCAGGATTCCTCCCCCGGCATCCTTTCACGCCAAGAAAGAAATCAAGAGAATCAAACGAGGCAAGCATCTCCCTCAAAACAACAACAACAGCAACAACACCGACAGTCAAAAAAAAACCTGGTTGGGGAAGAAAGTCACCACTGTCAAGACGTTTCTTTCCGGTGAAGCCAAGGATGCTGTGGGTGCCTATGATGATATACTATTTTGCGATGTGGGAATTGGGCTGCTGGTTGTAGCCAGAGACTTGACCAATGGAGAATGCTTCACTTGGTTGGGGTTCCTGGGCCAATGGCGAGTGCTGGATTTGTCTCCCGAAACCCATGCCAAGCTGCACCAATGGTTGTGGAAGTCCTCAAACGAATCTACGACTGTCCCCTACTAGCTAGATAGCCAGGAATAAAACCGGAAGAGGGAAAAACCCAAGACCTTTCTTTCTCCAAGATGCTGTGGGTGCCTACTATGATATGGTACCGTAGGCGGTTTGGGATATAGGGATTGGCCTGTTGGTGATCCACGACAAGTTGAGCTATTATGTGTCAATGAATTTGGAGGCATTCTTACTACTCATCGACGACACCACAGTTTTGGCTAGCTAGAGCTAGCTAGATAAAAATCGGGAAAGCGAAACCAGATTGTACCATTGCATTCAGATGCAATCGAGACAGCCAAGCGAGCAGACTGACGGCACGATAGAAAAATGAAAGGAAGGAGAAGGATCAAAGGGCAAAGACTAACGAACAGATCAGGAGCCCACGATCGTCCCAACGCGGGAGCTCATTGTAGCAGTTACGGATTGAGCACTTTCCGGGATGTTTTGCTTACGGCCATGGTACTGTTTATTAATTAAAATACCAGGAACATTTATTGTACCACAATATTTTTATTCATTTTCACGAACGTCGTCCTTTTCGTCCGTCAATTGGAAAATCATGAAGAATTCACGGACCCTCCAGTTCTTCGAAGCGACCTGGCTGGATGACTGTTGACGCAGAGCGTCCCACTCGGTTAAAAAATAGATTTTTTTGATAAATCTTCCTCAAGTTTCCCCTAGAAAGCTTTGACCTTCTACCACCACATTTTGCATTCCCAGTTCCCAGATGACCCCGACGTAAAAAGGTCATCAAGCTCATGGCGTTCTGGGCGGCCTGATATAGAATTCTCATCTGCTCGAGTCCAAGCTCCAAGTGACCTCTTCGACCATTGTATTCTCATTGCTACAAGTATACTGAATAGCGTTCTGCTGTTAGTGCGCCAAGAAGAGATACTGTACCATGGATTCCAATCCGAGCACACTACATGAACCAACAGGAGGTGAGAGTGGGGTTGAGTACACGTGTGATGGGATTCTGCCCAGTAGTACCAACCAACAACCACAGCACCATGTAGAGTCAGTCACAGAACCACCCAGTTTGATTAACCTCCCCAGAACCGAAGACATGAGCTGCACTTCTTCGGTCACAACTCATTTCCGCGATGCAGAACTATTTGTCCCACATATGTATCCATCAGCTCAGAATCTACGTGACTCTCACGATGTAGAGGATACCACCTTTCAGCCAGTCACACAGCAAACAAAGACAACAACGAACCAGTCTGTTTTGCCACCTCTTCCGGAGGAATCATCGCAAGACCCCACTGACAGCAAGTGCATCACTGCAAGCCACCAAAAAAAGGATGAAAATAGAATCCTCAAGGTACAAGAAAAAGCTACCATGAAGGAGGCGTCATCCAATGTTCCATCCATGGCAAGCTTGGAATCAAGACTAAACCAAAAAAACCAAATATACTCGGTTCGACAAATTTCCTTTGAATCAAATGGAGACACTGGCATTGATCCAATCATTCGGGAGGAGCAAATTGAGGATGAGGTGGCAACCAAAATTGCCAATGACGATGATGCACAAGGTACGAAGAAGGTCCTTCGGCTGGGACAGAACAAGGATCCGGGAATAAGAAATCCAGCAATCGATGTGGGGATTTCAACTGTTAATGAGGACAACACTGCCATACCATTACCAACATGGCTCCAAGAATTGCCAGGGCCCCAGGATTTTCCAGGGCCCAGGGACCATCCACCTTCTGGTAACACTGCCAGTGTGCCAGGTGCACATTCTGTTTCCACCCCATTTGGAACCTTCTCACAGCGGCAAGCAAATCCTTCAACCAGGGGAGAAAATCAGAATACTGCTGTTGATGAAGAGGAAGGAAGAGAAGACTCACCTGCACAAACGTTGGCAGAGGCAAGACCTGTTGTTGAGGATGACTTGCCTGTCGCCATGGCTGATAGCGGCAATGAACGGAAATACCAAGGAAGCAATTGGCCATTCTATATTATGGCAGGAATCTTCTGTATTCTAGTCGTTGCCGCTGTTGTTATTGGGGCTACTTGTGGCACGGGACACTGCAGTCATAAAGTCTATGTGGATGGCAGCAGTACGATGGCACCCACCACAACTAGAGATGCTGTTGTTGCTCCCAAGATTGAAACTGTCCTGACCAGCCTCCTCGGAAAGGACTACTTTAAACAAGTTGAAGAGGGAGATGATAGTGACACAACTGAATTTATGCTTGAATCAAGGCAAAAAGCGTTTGATTGGATTGTCAATCAGGATCCATTACAGTTGGAGTACGCTTCTCCCAATTTGGTTCAGAGGTTTCTATTGGTGCTCTTCTACTACCAAACCACAAGGCATGAACCATGGAAGGAGTGCAATCCACCATCAACCTTTCAGGGGGGTACGCCATCCGATTTCTGCTATAAGCTTGATCCTGTTACAGGGGAAACAACATCGGACATCTGGGGTGATCAGTGGCTCACAAAAAGCCATGAATGCCAGTGGGCAGGAATGATCTGTGAGACTGTGCAAACAAAGGCGAAAACAGTTGTTGGGGTATCAGTTCGTAAGTAGTATCCGAGGACACGCGGGTGGATTGTGTCATTGATTTCTAAAACACGGAAATCCTTTCTTCAGGGTGGAATCGGCTCAATGGCCCTCTTCCATGGGAGATTGCACAATTACCACACCTGAAACAGCTACATTTGAATGACAACATGCTGAGTGGAATGCTGCCACCAAAGCTGCTCTCTTATTCATTGGAACGGCTCCAGTTGGGCAACAATCAACTCTCAGGACACATCCCTGCTATATGGTTTGAAAATCTCCATGACGGAAATGCAAAACTTACTAGCCTTCAAATTGATGAAAACTGGTTGACTGGAACTATTCCATCTGAAGTGGGGTTGTTTCCGATGGAGGTTGTTCATCTGCACCAGAATCAACTGAGTGGGTCGCTGCCAGTTGAACTCTCTGCCCACACCTCCCTGAAGATATTATTGCTGGGTTACAATGACGTAAGTAGCTGGTCTCTATTGTTAATCACCGATCTCCAGATAGCCAAGCCAATGTGACCTGCTTTACTCCTTGATTCCTAAAAAGCTTACAGGCACTGTTCCAAGTGAATTTGGACTGCTCACAAGCTTGAAGGGGAACCTATATTTGGGTCATACCCATATTTCGGGAACCTTGCCCTCAGAGATTGCCCTGCTGAGCACACTTCAGGACATTGATTTGTCTTCTACCAACATGCAAGGGACCCTCCCGCAAGAAATGTACACTGGACTCACAGACCTTCGTGCTTTTTCTGGCAATAACTGCAACTTTTCTGGGACTATCAGTTCATCACTTGGTCTATTGACAAGTCTAGTTTGGCTTCGTTTGGCCAACAACAACTTCCATGGCACAATTCCTAGTGAGATTGAAGAGTTGACTAGCCTGATGCATCTGGTAGTGAATGGGAATCAGCTCACTGGCACTGTTCCAGCGTCTCTATGTCTCTCTGCTGCTTTTGTTGAGATTTACGGAGCTGCGCTTGTGGCTGACTGCTTGCCCAATCAAGAGACCGGGCTGCCCACAATTGTATGTGCTGCTGATTGCTGCACCAGTTGTTGTGACAACACAGGGGTTTGCCTTGGAAACTAGAAAGATTGATTGATTAATTAATTGGTGTATCCATACTACCGCACAACGCACGTCCTCGGGGCAACTCGAGAGGTGGAATGTGCAGGCGCATTACGGGCCGTAGGCCTGGTATCGTAGTCTTGTGGACGTTCGGGGAACGCCAGTGGTCGCTGTGAACATTGAATTCCAGAGTCCCAACCACAAACTGCTTAGTCACAATCGCCTTGGCCAACTGCTTGACACCATCCCAGGATTCCCTGGAATAAGGACGCGCTGCCTGTGATCGAACAATGAGGGTGTCGAATTGCCGAAACTTGGCCATTGACATGAAGCCCTCGGAAAGTTCCGTCAGGGACAACTGAATTGGTTGCTGGTCGCCACTGCACCCGCCATCGAGCCAAAGCCCACGCTCAAAGAGGCTCAGTTCCAGCCGTTTCAAAAGCGGCAGTTTTTTGCCCTTGATGAAGCGGATTCCCTCGAATGTCTGATGATAGGCAACAACGAGACGTAGAGTTCGCAAGCGAGGAAAGGACACGGAATCCAGCGGGCGAAGAAAGTCTTCCTGGACGTCAGCCAACATGATGCCCTCGAAATTCAAATCTAGTTCGGTCAACGCCGTCATCTGGGCGATGGACTCGCCGAGGCCACTGATTTTGATGGATTTGGGCGGTGTTGCGCCCATGGCAGACCCCAGGTCCACACCGAGATTCAGCCGCAAAGTCGCCAGCTCGGGAGACGACCTCAACCCGCGGACCAGCGTGTCAAGAGGTGGGGATACGGGACAGCCAAGGAACTGCAAGTCAAACACACGCAACCGTGGCAACCTCGCCCAAGATGCTTCATGGGCAGTCAATGACAAAAGCTCCCTGTTATCGGTCAGATCCAAGAAAAGCTCCTCCAAGGCAGGCATGCATTTTAGCACGTCGTTGATTCCATCAAGGCTCTCGAGCGATGATACGGTAAAGACAGATGAAACCAGCAGCTTGAAGGTCAAGAGTTTCGAGAGCGAGCCCTCGCTCGCCGCAAGACCGGCCGCCAACGTGTCCACCAGCGCAGGAGACTCGACGCATTCCGTGAAACTTAATTCCAAGGACGACAGCTCGGGCAGCGACGACAGTTCCAAACCCAGCCTCTCAAGCGATACCAAACCATCGGCGAATCCGTACTTTGCAATCAAGCCACCAGTACTGGTCCGGGACGAACCAACCTTGAGGCCCACATGGTTCAAACTTTGGAGGCGGCCAAGGCCCATTGCAAATTCGTCGGAGGATTTGAATTTGATGCCTGTCAAGTCCAGATCCAAACTTTGCAATGCATCCGGTAGGGATTGTAGGAACAGCTCGGTTTCTTTTCGGAACTGAACGCACCCCGAGAAGGACGTTGCCAATCGGCGGGTTGGTGCACAAGACAGGGCGCAACGGTACTGCTCCATCTTTTGGTCTTCTTGCTCCAGAGCCCAGCGATAAGCAGATTCAGCGAACAATGTTCTGACCCGCGCGTTCAATTTGTCGTATGCGTCGTGAGACTCTGGAGGAACTGCGGGTTCTTCGGCGCCAGAAAAGAGCGATTCTGTCAAAAAGAAATCTGCTGTTGGTCTCACCACGGGTCCAGCAATGATCGCGTTCAACACTCTCTTCTTGTCACTCGATGTTGTTGCTTCCGCGCGCTCCAAGTGCAAGCCGAGAGCCTTTTCGCACAACTGCAGCGGGAACGTGGACAGCCTCCGAGATTTTGCCAATGTGGATTGATGACCTTCCAGCGGTCTATTCGTATTCAGTTTGCCTTTGGCATCCTTCTTGTATTTGTCTGCCGCCACCAGCCCGTCGGTCATGCCAACAGCGCAACGAACTCCTTTGGAGTCTTGCGCAACCGCGTAGACATCATAGAAGTATTCGCCGTCATCGTTTGTCGTTCGCTTGACTTTCATTTCGGCAAAAGCCACATGCGTTGCAAAAACGTTCCAGATTTGGCGAAAGCAAGCCAAATCGTTGTCCAGGACCACGATTGATCCTCTCTGTGACTGATGCACGGCTCGATAAATAGTACTGATCCTGTTGTTGTCGTTGTCGCGAGGGCCGATAGCAAAGACGTCGATCCAGTATCGGGAATACGGAGAGAAGTTCCGATCGTATGTATGCTGTTCCAAAGATGCCAGACAATCCAACACGCTCCCACCCATCCAATGACAACAGAAAATGTCTGGCCTTGTTTCCTCAATCCGCGTCGTCACAAGCTCCACGTAACTGCAGTTGTGCTGCTTCGTCACGGGGAGAACGAAATAATGATTTAGATCTTGGAAGGTAACCTCTTCTGGGGCAAGCAGCTTGCCTTTGCTGGTATCGTCGTCGTGATTGTTGATTCGCCTCCAGCCCTCGGATTGACACCGAAGGACAATGGCCGTGGCGATTTTTCTCAATTGGACCAACGTGATGCCTCGGAATTCTGGTTCGGGGATGCGGTTGATTGTCTGGTCCTCACGGAGGACCTGATTGTATCGGTCATGGCCCAGATATACGGTGCATCCATCGGTCATGCCAATCGTGGCCAGATCTTCATCAGCTGGCTCCTCCTCCTCCTCGTCGTCATCACTGTCACTTTCACTGATGTCGCTTCCATTGCCTCGATTGTTGTTGTTGTTGTTGTTATAATAGTTCCACCGACGACCACCAAACGCGAGAAACGCATCCCTGAGATCGGCGGTGGACGAGATTCCTCCTTGTTTGCGAACCTTTTCTTTCAAGTCGGATACAGTATCGGTTGGATCCACCAGCACTTGTGGAACATTGATATTGCAATGGTCCGCAGTGGAAATCTTTTGAATCTGAATGGTCCAACGATCGAACCAAACATTCAACAATGGTCCATCGCAGCACAACGTATTCTTGAGTGTCTCCAGATCTTGATGTTGCAAATCTTCCCACGAAATCGATTCTCGCTGTTCGCCTACATTCTTTCCTAACCAAACCAAGTGGGTTCGATGGCGAAACGATTCCTCTGGAATAAGATTGGCCTTTTGGAGAATCTTTTGTTGGATGGTGGCAACCTTCATGGTGGTCGATTCAGGCATGAGAATGCTCAGTTCTGTTCCAACCAGAGGAAACCTCGGGTCCACATTTGCAGCAGGAATGTTGTTGGAGTGTGGTGTAGAAGATGAGCGTGGTTTCCCAATCACTCCCACGTAAATGTGGAGACTGGTGGCCAGATAGACGCGGGGCGTGGTGCGAATGTCTTGGCGATAAAAGTGAAAGATTTGATTGAGAGCCATGGTGTCGTCGTTGTATTCGGTAAATTGGGCGTCGTCGCATTCTTGTTGTTGTTGTTGTTGTTGGAGTGACAATGATGATTGCCGTAATTGAATAAACCGGGAAGCTTCGTCCAAGTGGTAGAGGTGAATCATTGGTAGCTGCTCCTTCTTTTTCTTATTCTTGTGGTGGTGTTGCGCAAATAACTCATTTTGGATGCGTTCCTTCAAGCTTCCAATGGTGGTGGAATCCAAGTCTACATTGGTGACAAGATGGTGTTCTCCAGACGACATTAGGACAATGTCAACATCAATGGTGGGTCTCGCGCACACAATGACATAGCCGGAAGCATCCCTGTTGGTGGTAGTTTCATGCCCGGGTGCATCCAGCAAAGTGGTGGGATACAGGTGCTCATCATCATCATCATCATCAGCCACCTGTTCGTAGTATTCACCGTCATCCTCTAGAGGTACGTTGCTGCCATTGTCATTGTCCAAGCATGGCACAGAATCAGAATCAGAATCATCTTCATTGGCGTGAACTGAGTCTGTCTCTGCTGCATCCGCATCAGGAGGCGCATCCTGGGGTGAAGACTGTAAATCCAACCGAGCAGTGGGGCCTTCTGTGTCGGCTGTCGATCTGATGATGACAGATCCTGGTGCTTCCTTGTCTTTGGTGGTGATTTTGAGCCCTGGGGCATCCGAAGAATGGGCTGTTATTGTTTCTGGATCAACCGACGGATCTTGTGGTGTGTCTGTGTCCTCTGAGCGGTCACCACTTCCATCGACATCGTCGTATGGTGGACCCGCAAAAGACGTGTCGTTTTTGTCGTGGAAGAGCTCTTCTGGTTCTGCCTTTGCTCCTGATTCGCACTCATCATCGTCGGTGGCTACAGGCGGATCCTCTGTTTCTCGTGGATCGGATTGATGCTGCCGAGGCATGGGACCTGGCTCTCCCTCGACCTCTTCGCCCTCCTTTTCATCAGCCGAGGATGCCCACAGTTCGCCGTCAGGGTCAGCGCCAATGCTCTCAATAATCGCCGGCTTTGGCAGTTGTTCCTGTCCCACCTCTTGATCGTTGATACAGGGCAGAGCAGCAAGGCTCTCGTCGTCGTCATCATCCGAGCTCACCATCACGTGCGGCGAAGGGGGGTCCATCGAAGCCATGGTTGTCGCTTGCAATGCATCCTAGCTTGCAAGCAAAGACACGCAACAATTGAGGGAACATGCAAGGCACGACGCAACCCAGACATGCCCAGCGACGACTGCAGAATACTGCCACTCGTTGATGGCCTCATGGTCACACCGAAAGATCCCCCCCAAAAGATTTAAAACAGAAGAGCTGCTTTGGATTGAATCCTGAATTTTGTAGGAATTAAGCCAGTTGAGATGTTGAGTTGTTTAGACCTCTGATGGCCCCCTTACTAAAGAAGCCTGACGCACACTGACGATAAGGCTTGAAACATGGATACTGCCCTCACGGGGTCCATCCTTTAAATCTCGTGGTCAGGAAGGAGAACTCGAATTCAGCATGGAACAGCCTTGAACAGCCTCGGTACGGTACCACCGGTACCAGTATGGAGCATAGCGTTGATCAAACGATCAAACCATGTTTGCAGACACCACTTCCGCTTGAAGATGACATTGTTGACAAAGCCTGACAAGATGTTCTTCCGTGCCGCTACTTTAGATTGCGTCTCTTCTGTCTGCTGGCCTCCGTTGGTTGAAAACCTCCCCACTGCATGTCTAGACCCCCGTTGCAATCTCTGTTGTGCTTGTTGTGAGCCCTATAACCAAGTCAAGATGGACGCTGCGAAAGATGGAAAAGGTTTGGCTGCTGCTGCCACTGGCAATGCAGATGAGCAACCAGTTGGTTTGGTTGGCAACTTACCCATCTTACTAGAAAAGACGGAGCGGCGGGAACCTGAGAGTTTCACTGACGTTCCGCCACAAGTTACCAGTACCGACCAGCTTGGGAGGGACTGTCTTGTGGGCGAGGTTGGAAAGAGCTTGATTCTAGAACAAGAAGGAGCGAACTGGGCCGAGTTGAATCGTTCTGGCTCTTTTTCCGTCGAAGCATCCATTGCACATGACCCTCAAAACGTTCTCCATATCGCCAATAATGCGGGAAAGAATTCATCAGATACTTAACCCCAACAACCGCAACGGATTTTTCCTGGAGCTGTGGCGATTGCCGGCACTTCAGGGCAATCTCATGGTTCGGTGTCAGGCAATGGTTACTACAACATGGGCCAGGATAATCATGCAGGCCTCGTGGAGGCAGAAGCTGTAGAAGACCTCGAGCAGCCACAAGCAGTGGCAAGTCCTGCTAGAGATGGTACCAACACAAGGCAGTCCATTACACAGAAATATCAGCTTCGTCTTGCAGGTTTTGTGTTCATGCTTTTGCTCACTGCTGGCATCATTGTTGGCTCCATTTGTGGGGCTGGCGTATTGCATGAGAGCAGTGCTTCTGTGCAGCCTACAAAGAAAATCAGAGACATTACCCAAGGTCCCAAGATAAAAAGTGTTCTGACTAGCATCCTAGGAGAGGACTACTTTGAGCAAGTGGAACAATTAATACGGAGAAAACTATAATGACGAGCTCACAGACTTCATGCTGGAAACAAGTCAAAAGGCCTTTGACTGGATTGTCAATCAGGATCCAATACAGTTGGAGTTTCATGCTCCCAATTTGGTTCAGAGGTTCCTTCTGGTGCTGTTCTACTACCAAACTACCAGACATCAACCATGGAAGGAGTGCAACCCAGCACCAACTACTGATGGGAGCTCATCATTGAAGTTTTGCTATAGACCTGATCCTCAAACTGGTGAGGCAACATCTCACATCTGGGGTGATCAATGGCTCTCGCACAGTCATGAATGCCAGTGGGCTGGAGTTTCTTGCGTAGTCATTAAGTCCGCAGAGAAGCAAGTCAAGCAGCAATTCTGAGTAAGTCATTTTGGCAAATCGTCGGGATTGCAGCATTGATTCCTTACAAGAAGTGCACACGAATTCTTTAGGGCGGAATCGGCTCAATGGACCTCTCCCATGGAAGATCACACAACTGCCACAGCTGACAAATCTAAATCTAGCTTTGAACATGCTAACTGGAGTGATACCTCCAGAACTGTTGTTCCAAGAACCTGGCCACCGCTTGGAGTCCCTTGTGTTGAGTGGGAATGAATTCACCGGTACCATCCCTGCGAGATGGTTTGAAAACCTCAATGAAGAAACTGCAAAGATTTCCAGTCTCGCCATCTCATCAAACAGGCTGACTGGGACGATTCCATCAGAAATTGGGTTATTGCCACTTAGGATACTAATCCTCTCCAACAATGATCTGACAGGTTTCCTGCCACAAGAAATCTACATTCAAGCTTCGCTCAGGTGGCTAAGTCTTGGAACAAATCATGTAAGTTGCACTGACTAAAGCTGGTTGAAAAAATCTATTTATTGTCACAGCTCATCTCCCTTGCTGTTTTGTCATGAAAGCTTACTGGAATCATACAAAGTGAGATTGGACTTTTAACAAGTTTGGAAATGTTGACCGTGGCTCAAACTGGTATTTCAGGGTCCCTGCCCTCAGAGATTGGTCTAGCAACCCAGTTGCAGTAAATGGATCTGTCCTTCACCAGCATGCGAGGGACACTCCCAGAAGAGTTCTACACTGGACTCACAAACCTTCACGCCTTTGTGGGCAATAATTGCAACTTTTCCGGTGCCATCAGTTCATCACTTGGCCAATTGACAGATCTCAGGTGGCTGCATATAGCCAACAACAGATTCCTTGGCTCCATTCCCAATGAAATTGAGGCATTGACCGGGTTACAACAAGTATTGGTAAATGGAAATGACCTAACGGGCACAGTTCCAGTATCAATCTGCCAAAATGCCTTTGCTGATGAGGGAACATCCTTCAAGGTTGTAGCTGACTGCTTGCCTCATACAGAAACTGGAATTGCCACAATAAAGTGTGCTACTGGTTGCTGCACGAGCTGTTGTGACAATACTGGGGTTTGCCTTCATAATTGATTACATTGACTTGCACAAAAGCTATCTAGAGATGTTATATTTGGAATACTTGAACATGCAATCTATAATCCCCAAGACGGACAAGCAGTGTGAAGGAGGCTCACTATAATTGCACTGCAGCCGTGGTCCTGTTTTTGCAATCCTACTGGCAATAGAAGCCTCCTCTGTTCAAGGGAGCCTTCACGCAATATCTTCTTCTTCTTCGCAGTACTGAAACTTGGCGGCTTCCACAACAGATCGCCCAACTGTTGGGGATTCGCGATTAGGGATTCAACCCCTGTACCTCTGTACTAGAATTTCACAGTAGAAATACAGAGCCCACCCACTTTTTCAGTAGTATCTCAAATAGCAACAGTAAACTAGAAGAGAGCTTAGAGCAACTAACATACTACTGAAAAAGACTGCTATCACGAATAGCAGTGGTCTACTATCGAGTCGAAGTGAAGAGGAGCCTATCGTAGCAACGAAGCAATCGGTAGCAGGAAGAAGAGCGAGTATCGGCCGAACGCCGATCGCGACGACGCGACGAGTAGAAGATCGTCGAGGACGACGCTACCGTTGCAAGAACGACCGATAGAGACCAAGCCCTTCACGACTGGAGGCAACGCGACGACGCAAGAGATCCGAGGACGGATAGCGACGCCGCAACAAGAGAAGCCTGTCGAAGCATCGACAGCAACAAGAGAAGAAGCCTGTCGAACGATCGACAGCAACAGCGACGACGCATCGGATCGCGACGACGCAACGAGTGAAGATCCGAGGACGGATCGGACGGAGACTGCAGTCAACGACGCAGCAAGAGTTTCGTCGGTAGAATCCACAAGGATTACCGGCAAGGTTGTTTGGCGAGGAGAAAGCCAACAACAAGCGCGAAAGCCATAGTGCCAGCGCAGGGACCAAGGACGGGTACCCAACCAAGGAAACAACCAGCAAGGAAACGGGTTCGGAACGGCGCATACCGCACGAAGTGTGAAGCAATAGCGCCAGACCTTGCAAGATCCTAGCAATAGTTTAACACTCCCTAGCCAGGAGTATAATTTGAAGTTTATCGCCCCATAGCCATAAGACGAATAAGTAGTCGGACGAGAACTTAAAATAAAGAGTAGCCAAATAAAAAAGAAAGAATTGAAATAGTCCACCTACCGTAGCATAACAATGAGCGGTAGAGGTAAAGGACGAGTTGGCCGAGGAGGCGGCAAAGCACGAGGCATGGAAGAACAAGCCCATCGCCGAACCAGCAGAAAGGTTCATGCAAAGCCCCGACCAACATGTGTTTAACTTCGGTACAACTGGATCTGGAACGGCAGACCAATGATACGAACATGGGAGAAGATCGTCCTCCACGTTGGAAAAACGTTGGGTGACGACATAAGCAATGAGCTACGCAACCTGAAAAGACAGTGTTGGTAGCACGGTGTACTCAGAGGAGACCGGAACAGGCTTGACGCGCGCGGAACGACGGAACAGAACAACCTTCGTCTCCAAACACCAAAAGCCTAACTACTGGAAGACGAGATAGCCGAGGTCATTGAAACCCGACTCTCGGTAGCTTACGCACACTAACGATGAGAAAGAAAAACTCGAAAATGAAAAAGCCAACCTCACTGCAGCCATAGCAGATCCACGGACGAGGAACTCGGGGGACTCGAGAGAGAAGAGTATGGAGGGCTGATGAAGACCCACCTTACGAGGTTGGCAAAACTACAAGAAAATAGAGGCAAAGCATTCAACTTGATCCTAGGGCAGTAGCACCCGACTTTTAAAGGACAAGATGAAGCAGAACACGGTCGAAGACGTCTGTTAAATGCGACCCCTGGAGCTACAAAATGATCCATACATCAGGCCCAGCCGAATGTATTTGTGTACAAAACATTATTCACATGGAAAAACAACTGTTGTTCCACCAAGGGAGCCTTACCTTCCGAATACCACGAGAAATTTACAACGAAAAAGGACATTCAAAATCCGTGGGTATTTCCAAGCACACGACGCAGCGCTGCTGCATACGGCCACCCTCCTCCACCGCAGATACGCTGATCTGAGCGTCGAAGACCAGAAGATAGTCTGGCATACGCAGAGGAACGGTACTATAGTTATATTTCTTAACAAAAGTTCAGCCAGAAATACAAGCTTAAACAGACTGAGGACGACTTTGCCAAGCACTGATAACTATCCCCATTACATGAGGTATTACACCTTTGGACAAACAACAAGAGTAACACCCCACGACAGTCCACTTCCCACGGAAGCCCTTTGCTCAGACAGCACAAGGGGGGAGGACGGGGTGGTGGCGAGGAAAAGGCCGGGAAACGCGAGCATGATAAAGAATATGGAAAGAGAAAGAATGCTTTCCTGCCACGATAAAGGACATCCAGCCTGCACTGTCCTGAAAATAAAGACAAATAAAGACAAAGATAAAGACAAAGACGACGATGAAAGTCTAGGTCGAGCAAGCGTAGCAAGTCAGCACGTCGAGCAAGAAAGCTCTAGTAGCGTTCAAAGAGAACCTACTACTATAGCAACTGCAAGATAAATGACGACAGCATTGACAACCCAGAAAGGATGATGCGACTCTGACATACACGCAGTCAGAGAAGAAGTCGAGAAAGGTTTCTTACGTTCGACGTACCGCTTGCGGCGGACGGAACGAAGACGGAAACGAAGAAACCGACTAAGCAAGGCATAGTCGCCCACACAAAGGATTGGACGACATAGATATGAGAGAGTCCAGCTACTGGACAACCAGTCCACGTTGGATTTATTCTGTAATAAAGACATGGTTACCGCATCAGGAAAGCCGATCGCCAATTACAGTGAAGAGTACGGAGGCAAGTGAAGGTCCAGACACAGCCAAGTTAGCTGGCCAAAACAGAGAGTATGGTTCGATGAAAGAGGAATCACGAACACTTATCTGTTAAGAATGTCCGCAAGAATTGCAACATAGTCTATGACTGTCCGAAAGAACCTACACAGTCATTAGACCAGGCCTACCGGACGTAGTATACGAAATGAACAGTGAAGGATTACACGTTCATGACCCTAGGAAAAAAGGGAAGACTTGTGAATACTGTCGCCGAAAATAAGGAAGGCTTCAGCAAACGACAAGTAAAGCCGCATCAAGGGCGAAGCTGCTATATAAGCAACTCGTCTATCCATCGATTAAAGATTTTCGATGGGCGATTATGAGCAATCAAATCGCAAATGCCCAGTGACCGTTGAAGACATCGACACGGCACAAGCCATATGGGGCAAGATATTGATGCGTTGAAAGGCAAGACCACTCGTACGAAACCGAACGCAGTGGAGGCAATGCAATGAAAGTGCGGAGAGACTTTTTGCAATTACACAAGGATGTGTTCCTAACGATGGAACATTTTCTTTGTGGCAGGAATTCCGTTCCTGTTAACGCTAAGCCGTAAAATCGATTTTACAACATCTAGACACCTGCCCAACAGGAAGCTAGAGACCATCCTAGAGCAGTCAGGAGGTCTATCGATTCTACAAGGCTCGTGGTTTTAGAATCACGACATTCATGTGGACAATGAGTTTGAGCCTCTGTCCAACAACATCATGGCAATGCCGGGTGACCGGTAGTAACGTTGCCAGTAGTTAACGAGCACGTACCCGAGATCGAAACGTAGAATCCGGGTAGTCAAGGAAAAAGAAAGCTGTCCGGCATAGCCTACCGTTCACACGCATGCCAAAAATATTAACCGTCAACTTGGTGTTCAAGTCGTCAAACAGTTGCGTACTTCCAAGTAAGGGGGGGTCAGCGAGACAATGAGCCCCCGTATGATAATGTAGGGAGAGTCCCTGGACTAAAAAAAGCACCTGAGCCTGACGTTCGGAGATCTACTGCCAGTGCAAGAGGAAGACTCGCCCCGTAACAGCATGGTAGGACGCACAAAGGCGGCCATCTGTATGGGAACGAGCGGAAATAAGCAAGGAGGCTACAAATTTATGAGCCTCGCTCCGGCAAGAAAATTACTCGGCATTCATGGGACAAGATCCCAATGCCCGACACAGTGATAGTAGAGTCAATCTATTAGGAAAAGATCAGCCTAAACTACTCTTTTTACTGATCGGAAAAATAGACCCATTGGTGATGTCGAGATCACAGGAGTGGAAGGGGAAGAAAGCAATGACCACCCCCATACCAATGATCCAAACCGATGAGGACCTGGACGCGGATGCTGAAACCATTGACGAAATGGAAGATGATCCGACGATCCCCAGGACAACGTCAACGACGACGCCGAATCGATAGTCAACGAACCGAATGAAATCGTTGAACGCGAAAATCGAAATGGAACCGGTTACACAACCATCGTCGAAACGGTAGAGGAACCGGAACCTACTACGGACCACAAGCCCCTGGAACAGATCCCAGGAGTGGGTGTTGAAACCCAAGCGGCACCTGAGCAGACGCCAGGAGTGCGCAGGTCTAGTAGAGTGAGGACACAAGCAAAGGAATCGTATATTCCAGCTTTGATGGAAAGAAGTATGAGACGCCAAACGTCCATACAACTGAAACGTGTCTTGCACCCAGATGCACACATTTCTACACACAGGTAGAAGAAGAACCTGATGTGGTAGCAGCCATCATGACACAGTTGTCATTGAAGGCTGGACTCAAGGAGTGGAAGGACAAAGCGCACGATGCAGCCTTTGCCGAGATGAAACAGTTACATCTCAGGGATACCTTCCGTCCGAAGAAAATGGAAGAACTCAGCGATATGGAACGCAAGAGTATCCTAGAGTCACACCTGTTCCTAAAGTTGAAAAGGAACGGGAAGATCAAAGGCCGAGCGGTTGCAGGAGGCAACAAAACAGCGTGACTTCATCTCCAAGGAAGACGCAAGCTCGCCAACAGTGTCGACAGAAGCAGTGCTACTATCCTGCATAATCGACGCTGAAGAGGAAAGGGATGTGGCAGTAATTGACATCCCGAACGCCTTCATCCAGACAAGAGTCGAGGATGAAAAAGACATGGTAATAATTAGAGTAAGAGGAGTACTAGTAGACATGCTGTGTGAAATAGCCCCAGATGTCTACAAACCGTTCGTAAACAACGGATAAGAAAGGCAACAAGCAGTTGCTACTGCAATGCTTGAATGCCATCTACGGCACTATGGTAGCTAGCCTACTATACTACCGTAAGTTCCGGAAGACGATGGTCCGGACGGATTTAAGATTAATCCTTACGACCCCTGTGTAGCCAACAGAATGGTGCACGGCAAGCAACAAACAGTCTGCTGGCATGTAGACGACTGTAAGCTTAGCCACAAGGACTCGAAGGTTAACGACCAGCTGATCCAAGTGCTTCGTGATGAATACGAAAGCATATTCGAGGACGGCACTGGAGAGATGACGGTGAGCCGAGGAAGGTCCACACGTATCTTGGCATGACCATAGACTTCACGACGAAGGGTCAATGCAACGTATCAATGTACAAGTACGTTGATGAAATCCTGGAAGCCTTCGAGAAGGCATCGCCAGAGGAAGGGGGCACGAAAACTAGAAGTAGTGCAGCCCGAAAGACCTATTCAAGTAGACGAATCCTGCAAGAAGCTCCCAACGAGCAAGGCAGACACCTTTCACAGCTGGTGGCTAAGGTGTTATCGCTACGAAGAGAGCCCGACCAGACACAGGTACGGCGATATCGTTCCTTACGACTAGAGTCAAGGAACCAGATAGGCACGATTGGGATAAACTAGTCCACCTCATGCAGTACATTAGACGTACTAGAAAACTACCATTAGTTCTCAAAGCCGACGGAAGTGGCATATTGAAATGGTATGTTGATGGTTCCTTCGGAGTCCATCCAAACATGAGGGGTCACACCGGAGGTGGTTTGACCATGGGCACCGGTTACCCATTATCGACTTCGACGAAACAGAAGTTGAACACGAGAAGCTCAACTGAGAGTGAACTCGTAGCAGTTGATGACCTGATGCCATCGATCCTTTGGACGAGGCAGTTCCTTCGGGAGCAAGGCTATGTAGTTAAAGAAACTATAGTCTATCAGGACAACAAGAGTGCCATTCTTCTAGAGAAGAACGGCAAAGCTTCTAGTAGTAAACGAACGAAGCACATCAACATTATGTACTTCTTTGTGAGCGACAGAGTCGCAAAGAAGGAGATCAGTGTGGACTGGTGTCCAACTGATGATATGGTTGCGGACTTCTGGACGAAGCCGAACCAAGGTCGACTGTTCAAACAGAACGTGGACAAGTTGATGGGTGTTGTGGAACACTCAGAGCCAGGGCACTCATAGGGAGGGTCACGGCCGGACAAGAAGGTCCGTTCAAAGAAGGAGCGCTAAGCGCAGTAAGTAAGTAAGCATGGTCGACGACTAGGACCAGCTCGACGACCACAGGAGTGTGTTGGGGATTCGCGATTAGGGATTCAACCCCTGTACCTCTGTACTAGAATTTCACAGTAGAAATACAGAGCCCACCCACTTTTTCAGTAGTATCTCAAATAGCAACAGTAAACTAGAAGAGAGCTTAGAGCAACTAACACCAACAGCTTCCCCCAGACACGCAGGTACAGAATTTCCTAGTTGTCTGACAAGATGGCTCAGCTTGTTCCCGTAAAGCTTGAATTTTTTATCCAGCGAAAACAAGGCTTTCATCTCGTCTATTGTAATGGGTCGATTGTGCTCATAGTGTAAGGGGAGCTGCCCCGAAGCACGAATTGTCGAAGCGGGGGCGTCTCGAAGAAGCCGTGGTCTCTCACCATGGACTGCAACGAGCTCACCTTCGTCCATCTGATTCTGATTTTGCTTGGACAATCCTTTTAGAGCATCTTCTACGGTAATTCGATGCATGGAGGCTCCTTCTCCGTGGGTCTTCTTGGGCAGAGAGGGCAAGTATGCAAAGCTTCGAGCAGCAAAGATAAAGAGGCGAGGTCGTGCCTGAGGGTCGCCGTAGTCCGATGCTTTCAACCAGCAACAACGAACCTGGTAGCCCTCCTGCATCAGGGAACGAAGGATGTTGAGAAGGTAGTGCCGATTCTTCTTAACCCACATTCCTGGGACGTTTTCAAACGTCGCAAAGACTGGCTTGTGAATCTGGACGGCCTTCACAAACTCAAAAGACAACTCATTGTTGGCTTTGTCGTTTTTCCCACCATTCCTGTTGGCTCCGGAGCACCCTTGGCACGGAGGCGACGCATGGATCCAAAGGATGATGCCTAGGGCGGCTTTGTATGCTTTGTCGTTTTCGCACTTTCGGTTCCAGTCTCGAACGTCCATGCATTCCACTCTCGTGCATTCAGGATGGTTCATCTCAAATGCTATTTTGGCGTTCTTGTTCAGCTCGACAGCACAAACGGTCTCCACGCCATAGTTTTTGTTTAGCCCATGACTCATGATTCCTGCACCCGCAAACAGATCAACCAAGCGTATGTCACCAGTGCGCTTCCCTGAGATCTGGCGCTTATGGTTGTGGCGGTAAGCAAAATGTAGCCATTCTCCAGGCATGGACACCTTATAGATTAGTTCGGGAAGGATTGGCACTTCGGAACACTCTTCCCCGAGCCTGCCGAGCGCCACAGGGTCAAGAGCTTGGTCAATTTGAACATAAGGTGATGGTTCCCAGGTGGTTGGATCATAGTCAACGCCATCAACTTGCATTCCCAGAATGGTATCCGAAAACGGACGAACCAAGACACATTTTGCCTCGGTTATGGAGAAAAAGCCCACTATGCCCATGATCAGATTCTTTCCATCATGATCCACGTGGTAGCATTTCTTTTCATGATAGTCTCGGTCATTGTAGCAAATGACTCGTGGGGTTTCTGCGCGCGGCTTGGTTGTGTCAGCGCCGTCATCAAAGTCGCCCCTTTGGTTGGAGTTGCGATTGCATTGTGCCAACGATTGGAGTACACCGTCAAGGTCCGTCTGCTTGGTCCTTTTCAGGAATGACATCACGACATCCTCCTCAGCTTGGGCCTCTTTCTCGGCGTCGGCCTCTTCTTCAGCAGTGTCGTCGTCATCGTCTCCGCTGTCGCAAAGGTTGATTGCATTCTTAGCAACCTGTGCTGTCTTTTTTCGTTTATTTGAGAGCTGATTCTCAACTTCTGAGCCGCCATTGTCGTGTACGGCATTCTGGGCCCGCATTGCCTTCCTTTTTCGTGCAGCTTCTTCTTCCAAATCTTTTAGGTGTCTCTCCAACGAGGCGACTTCGTTCTCTAGTTCGCGGATTTCTTCTTTGGACACTTCAATCAGTCTCTTGTAGTCCTTGGAATTGGCTTTGAATTCTTCGTCCGTGGCATTGCGGTGCATACATCTGTAGGCCTCTCGGCAACGATTCAGATCTCTACTGCGCTCACTGCGTTTCTTCGCTATCGCTTCCTTTGCTTTCTTAAGGCTCAAATAGGTTGATGGGATAGACTTGGTTTTGATTGGTGCCATTGCTTTTACAGCCAGCCAGCATGTAACCTTCTATTCGTGCAGAGACGAAAATCGCTGTCTTCAGGAAGTGAGCGCGGTTTGGGTGCCTCAGCTTATTAGACTGCTAGCCAGACTCCCGGACTCTTCCGTTCGGCTTCTTCGCCGTGAATTCAGGAGACGAATGACTCCTTCCGTTCTGCTTCTTTCACTGGCGATGTATTCTGCTCCTCATCTGTGACTCGACTCTGGCAGGCGCCTTCGATCCAATTTTTGATCCAATTGGTTTCCGCCTCTTTTGGAAAGGTGGACTTCTTCTGTCGAACGATTGATCATTCAACCGGAGCTTTGCCCAAGGGTGGTTAGATAGGGAACTTTTGATCACGATCCAGCGATCATGCGGGGCTATTATGCGACCCACGTCGGTTTGATGTGTTTATCGATTTTGCTCCCTTTCAATTGGACTAAGACTCCCAGGGTGCATGCCTTGAATGACGGCATGGCGTTTGTTGCGGGACTCTTCAGTTGAGATTCTTCTTCGGAGAGATCCACGGCCTCTTCCCTCTATCATCAGCTTTCCACGGATGAAGACTGCGGTCACAACAAACTTTTGAGCATCAGCCCCGAAAGTCTCACCAGCTTCTCGGATCAAGCTCATGCCTGACATGCTGCTTGCTAAGCGAAACTTCCCAGATGCAGGACCCGACGAGGCTGACGTAGACACCAAGATGTCGAAGAAACTTCATGACGAAGATGCCTCCGCCGAGCTCGCCAGTACTGAGAAAGACGACTTGTCAGATGTGTTTGATGAGTTGTTTGACGCAAGATCCCAGCGAAAGCTTAAAGAACTTCAGATCCAATCTTTAGAGACTGTTCTTGCTCGCCGTGACGACTTCAAGGATGAAGCCATCGAAGGGCTGCGGAAATCAACACAGAAGCAGCTGCATCAGTTTTGCCTCTGGTACGAGGAGTTTTTCACCAAGAACGACAAGAGCATATCGTGGCGCGCTCACTTCACTGCGGACCACTTCGACTCATTCGTTGAGCAACTGGGCAAGTCGCCTGATGGAGACGTTAACTTGCTCTTTGAACATGCTCGTCGAATGCTCCACGAGGGCAAGCCAGGAGACTTGGCGGATCTGACAGACAAGAAACGAAATGACCTCTACGCCTACGTGGTGCGGAAAACGATGGAGGAGTTGCCACCGAAGCTGATCGAGGAATGCAACTTCGACGTCAAGAATTTTATCATTAAGTGTGTGAGAGCAATCTTCAACATTCCGTCAGGGGATCCGTACCCCAAAATTCTGCTAGTAGCAGGTCGAACTCAGTCAGGCAAGACGAATGTGAAGGCTGTCGTGTTGACCACGTGCAATGTTTTGCGCTGCCCTTTGAAAATCATTACGAAAGGAGTTGCCGAAAGCCAGGATCTCAAGCAAAAGATAACTCACAAGGTGACAAAGTACCAAGACGACTTTGAAGCTTGGTGGGAAGGCCAACAATACCAACCCAACCGGTTTGACGTTCTCGCTGACACTGCCGCCAAAATCAACAACAAGGCCATCGTCCATGTGGAACAATTACGAAAATTCAAAAAAGACGGCAAGTTTGCCCTTATCATCGACGAGTGCGACGCCATGTACCGGACCGAGGAAGGGAGCCAGAAGTTTGAGCAAGCGTACGATGATTTGATGAGCTTAAAGCCTGCATTGAGAATCGAGATCTCCGCTACACCTATCCCAGCACTTTTTGCATTGACGGAGCAAGGGCATGCAGTCGAAATCCTGGAGCTTGGGACCGCTGATGACTACGCCGGAGTGACCGCAATGAAGCCTCTCGAGGGCAGCAACGGGAAACCCCTTTTCCTTTCCGTAGAGAAAAAGTCAAAGCTGAGGTATGACGATGGTGTCAGCTACGAAAAGATCAAAAATGGGTTGCTAAAGGGCGTGGACCCGGACCTAATCTTTCCGGAAGAGGAAAGCAATGACAAGTTCAATGAAACGGAGTCACGTGTCTTCTCCAAATGCGACGAGCTGGAATTCATACCTTTCACCGATGCAAAGGTGATGCAACTCTATGAAGATGCTTTGGCCGACTCGAAGGAAGGTCAACCAAAGAAACAGGGAGTTCTGCTGCTGGACTGTACAAACAGCCGTGTCACTGCTGACATGAACAATTTCCAAAAGGCTGCTTGCGTTCAGAACCACTTTCAGCGCAGAAATAAGCAGGTTGTCATCGTGGTGGTAGTTGGTGGTGGGATCTACGTCAGACGCCCCGGCTTCCTACATGGCCGCTTTATTCCAAATCGAAAGACTGTCTCAGATGTAATTGAACGGTTGGATGAACTTCTAGGCTTGGACATGCCGATCTTTGTGTTTGGGTACAGCAAAATGAGGAGATGTATTTCATATCGATCCGAGCGACGGGTCCCAACACACATGGTCCTGTATTTGGGGCTTGGATACAGCAACGAGAACTATGTCCAAGCTATTGGGCGAGCTACTTTCAATGGGCTCGAGACTGTCTTGAAAGCGAATGGCCTTTCACACGTAACAGTGCTTACATTGAAGAATGACTTCTCGATGGCGCACAAGTATACTAAATTCGTCTCGGAAGTTAGCCAGCGTTTGAAAACGGGAGCTACTGTTGCAGAGGTTATGTCTGATGGCAAAAAGCTCTTCAGTGATGCAGCCAACTATCTCCTTCATACCAACCGGAAGACAGGCCAAATAAAAGGCCACAAGCATCTTCTCCCAGAACAGCGTATGTTTGAAGACCCGATTGAGGATGATTCTGGAGACGATTCTGGAGATGATTCTGCTGACTACAGCCATGAGGATACCTCCAAGAGAATCCTACGCGCTTTGCTAGACCTTATCCATGACAGCCTTCCAGTCGATTTTGAAACGCTCCCAAATGGCAAAGATCGAAGTGACGGAGACGGCCACGCATCAATTGGAATGAAAAGCACAGATGCCTCTGTTGATGAGTCGGTCAAGGTTGTCGTGAAACTTGAAAATGAAGCTGGAGGAGGCAGCATGGATGACAACAGTGATCAAGAGAATCAAGAAACTTTTGAAAACATCAACAAAAAGGGATTTACAGGAAAGCAAATCTTGACCAAGTACAACAGCACATATCAAGATGGGGCCCACACTCTGAAGAGCAACATCTTGAATACTGAACTTACTCAGCTGAAGAATCAAGCAAAGATTGAAAAGATTGAAAATGGGCGGTGGCGCGCCAAGAATTTGCGAGCCCTGAAGCTACAATTTTCGTATGACTTTTGAATGACAGTCCGGCATGATTCGATTCAGCGTGCAGAAAACCATTGCTGGTGGCACTGTATTGCAGGAGATCAATGTGCCTATATCTGGACACTTGCTTGTTCAATCAAATGAATCATCACGAGCCCACACGAGTCTGTATCTCAATGGCTTGCAGTGAACCTCAAATGGTTTCTGACTACGACTCTGACAGTTTTATTTGGGTTATACGGCTGTACTCCCATCATAGCTTTGTATCAAAGCCAAGCCATCGCATCCAACATCCAAGCAGCTCAACCCAGTCAACGAACATTTATTTCCATTCTGCTAGGTAGTCCACCTAACTATCCGGATAAGACTTGGTTCTTTGTTATCCCAAAGTTTTCTATGGGTACCGTACCCGGTTTGCACCACCAGCTTGGGAGTTTTTAGATGTGGGAAAGGCTGGCGCCTTGAAACTACTTTTAGGGAAAGGCTCGCTTGCAGGAATTAACTCAGCATTCTCTTGTGGATTGGCCGTTCCGATCCAATGCAGCCACTGGCAGCTCTAAAAGTAGCCAGCTGGCCATAGTTTAGTAGGCAGGTTTCCAACCTCATAACATCTAACACCAATGCAAATCATGGGCATCCCAGCCGTCCAAAGTTCATGCGCCTAGCTAGCTAGTTGGGCGCAGTTTTCCAACCTCATGTCCAACCTGGCTGTCAACCAAAGCAAACTCGAGTAACTCGTGGCGATCTCAACCAAAGCTGATGCAGCTCCTACTAATGGAAAGAGAAAAGAACTGACTTGATGAGGACCACACTGTAAAACAACTGTAAAAATGTCTAGCTCCTCGCTCCTTTGTGCCCGATTGTTGGTTGGCGGTGCACACACACCAGAGGGACGTCTATTGCCAGGATGTATGTAGTCTAATAGGCCATCAGCGAAGCCGCCTACCCATCCGCATCTGCCATTTATTTTGACTACTAAAGAACGTTTCTGGGCAATAGCCAAGCTGACCATTGGCGACGACGAAGGGGCCATGCAAAACAGACTGAGCTCCATACCATAGCTTTTAGCTAGCTAGCTAGCTAGCTTCCAAACTGGTGTATGTACCGCTCCCGGCTCGCGGCACGGTTGTGTCGCCCCATTGGAACATGTTGGTAGCTGTACCAAACTGGTACAGCTGTACCGTTATTCTGGACGTCCATGTATGTGTGTTTTACCACGAAATCTTTCTCGCCACTCTTCCCAAAGATTTACAGAAGTGCCCTGTGCTTCTAAAGCAGTTTTGCTAATCAGTGACTGATTGCTTCCTCGTTGGCTTTCAAACGATTTAATGAGGTCCACACGAAGATAGTCTTATTACCATGTCAATGTCTCTTGTGTCCAACCAGTTAAAGCTGTTTGCCAGACATCCAGGCATCAAGCCCCTTCGAAACTGTGAACAAGGTCTTATTGTGCAAACCACGTTTTAAGGCCTAAAATGTTTCTGTGGGGTGTTTGCGACGAAGTAGGCGTATTATTGGGGTAGGTTCCTGCCGACTGACTCATTATCCAAGTGATGCGGCTGAACCATCATCTGCCGATGGTTAATTGTGCCAATGTACCGTACCAGTTCCAAGAGTTTTCCAAGTCTGAAGAGCCCACAATTTATTTCTGCACACAGCTCGACCACATACCGGTATCCCAAATCATCTTCTTTCTCCCATCAATCAGTTACTACTACTAGCTAGCTATCTAACTAACAAGTCTAAGCAAGCCACCATCATGTACGGAGACGAACCCAAAAAGCCGTTTGTGGTCATTATCGGTGCTGGTGTTGCAGGATGCGCTGCGGCTGGTGCTCTTCAGGACTATGGTATTGACTTTGTGGTGTTTGACAAGCACAGCCGACCGGGAGGTCTTTGGGCAGACAACTACCCTGGAGCCAAAGGTGAGTGATTGAAATGAAGTGAAGTGGAATGATCCCACTAACTAAGTGAGCTGTGGCGCTTGATCTTCTTCAGTTGGACTAACTCACTCTTCACTTACATGTACTTCTGCACTTCTGTAGTCCAATCGACGTTTGAACTGTACGAGTATCCGTGCAAACGGTTTCCCGCGCGCATTCGAAACCGTCAAGACCCACCAGCCCCCACGGCAGACGAAGTCTGCACGTATCTAGAAGACTACATACGAGACAAGGACATGGCATCCAAGTTTCGCTTCAACACGTACGTGTCGGATGTCTTGTGTACGGCCGAAGACAATTGGATTGTCGAGTTTGATGGATTGGCCACCAAGTGCTTTACGTACGTCATTGTCTGCAATGGATTGGTGTCGTCCAAGCCCAATCATATTTTACTACAAGGCGCGGAAGCCTTCAAGAACCATGGGGGCAAGATTCTCCATAGTTCGGAACGTCGCGACGATCTCGTCTTGGAGGGAAAGCGGGTCTTGGTCATTGGCAATGGGAAGAGTGCTGTGGATGCCGCCACGGCGGCCGCAACGGCAGCGACAGCCAGTGGTGGGACCAAAATGCCCATTCAATTGGCACGACGTCAGACATGGTATCTTCCTCGTTACTTTTTTGGATGCATTCAATACAAATGGATGTTTCATACCCGGCTGGGATCCGCCATGTTGCCACGGTACTACGAGAGTTCCCATCCCGTACTCAAGCTACTGCACAGTCTCTTTACCCCCCTCAAGTGGCTGCTGTGGCGAATAATGGAAGTCCTATTGCTACTGCAGTTTCGTCTCCCCATGCGACTGTGGCCGACAATGGGGACCATGGAGAGTGCCACGTTGGAAACGTCTGCCTTGGTTACCGACAAGGAACACTTGGATCGACTTCGTACCGGCAAGGTGGATATGCGCATTGGAAGCGTACAGCGACTGGAAGCCAATAAGGCCATTCTCTCGGACGGCACCGAAGAACCGGTGGATATCATTATTCTCGCAACGGGATGGAAACTGTCGTATGATCAGTTCCTTTGCGCCGACAGTATCTTTGCCGGTCTCGACTTTAGTAAAGACGGCCTCGATTTTTCCAGCGATGGTTTGTGGCTCTATCGCAATGTCTTGCCAGCCGGATTCAAGGGAATGGCATTTGTGGGTTCCAACACGTTGACATTTATGAATATCTTTACAGCCTACATTCAAGCCTACTGGCTGGCCGAACTGTTGGCCGGAGTTCGTCCTTGGCCCGATGAAACGCACATGAAGGAGACCATTGAACGAGAAAAGGTGTACAAACGCCAGTACTACAAAGCCAGCGAGATGCGTGGAGCATCGGTCGAGTCCTACATGCAGCACTATCACGATGTGCTAATGCGTGAAATGGTCCACTCGCGTCCGGCATTTCACTGTTGCGTCCGACCCGTAGCCCATTGGCTCGTGCCCATTCTTCCCAAGACATTACAGGGATGCCTGGAACCATTGGATGTCGCCGCGAAACCAGCTTCTGTGAACGAGTCCGTCACGGAAGCGACGAACAGTATCCGTGGAAGTCGTTCCAAGCGTCCTAACAACGATCAAGACAAGGGATCATCCTCTACTTCTTCCAACGAGGAGGAGGAGGAGGAGAGCAGCAGCAGTAGTCGTCGTCTGTTCTTTGCTGCTCGTTTCAAGCGTGGTGGTGCCAGTGCTACTTCGGAGACAAATGGTGTCTCTCACAAGTCATCCTCGTTGTCCGACGATGGGGACAGCGGCAGCTGCGGTTCTTCTTCCGTGGCACAACGCTTCAATATGAACTTTCAAGATGAGCTCTAATAAATTGCGCTGCGGTACATCTACGGCTTCGCATTACCGGTACACAATTACTGGTACAATAACTCGTTTTATAAAAAGTACCATGCATTCTATTTTTACAATTTTAAATCAACCGTTTCATTTAAATTGAGTACCGCAAAAGCGACGCAGCGACGTCGCAGCGACGTCGCAGCGTCACTGCGTCGCGACGCTGCGTCGCTGCGTCGCTTTTGTGGGACTCAATTTGGATGCGAAAACACTTGCATACCGTACGGTACTTCCAGCCAACGTACCAGTACGACTATGCACCAGCCCAAAACAACTCAAGGCAACACGACAAAACAAAAAACTGGGCAACACAAGTTTCCACCATGAATCCTGCCTCCTCAGGTACCGTACCTATGATATGTACACCGTGCAGTTTGTTGTGAATGATCATTTGATTCGATCGCTGTCAAACGCAAGGCACGAGATCGAGTGTGGTAGTACTGGTACCTGGTACCGGTAGAATAAATACCGTACTCTCTCCTAGCTAGACAGGCAGCTTCATTTACTTTTGCAGTACACTTGCTCTCCTTTGAAACATGTACCGGTACGTCACTGGGGGCTACATATTATTTAGTTGATGCGTTGTCGCTGGTCTGAATGGAATCGACGAGTGCAATCAATAATAATCAAAAAGGCATGAGTAACGTTGGTACCACTGTACGGTGGTACCATGGACATATGCATACGATATAGCGAAAGCTCCAGCGACAGTCTGTCTGTGCATGTGCTCCCTCTTGCTTTCGTCGTTTTAAATGCTTGCAACGGTACCGGTACCGTGTACAGTCATCCCGACCGTAGTAGCGTGAGGGTTTTTGCTACATTGTGCCTACCGTATATGTAGTTTCCTTATCTACCTACTATTGATATCTCAACTGTTGCCTCTTGATATTTCATTTGTTGGCAGTTGAGGCTGCGGATGCTTTAGCAGGGCTGGCTGGGAGCAGGCTGACCTTTCAGGTTGCTTGTTGAGGATCTCATGATCTCTCACTATCTCACACGCCCTCAGATGCTTTCCAGGCTGCAAGCCAATAGCTCTGCAGCTGCCATCGACTCTGCCTCCCATTGCATGCATGATGCTCTCTCGCTGAGACCCAAACAGTAACAATGGCGGTGGCTCCGTGGCAGTACATGTATCCAAATTGTTTCGTTTGACCCAAGGAGGGAGGAGTCCAGCTTGTGGAGTGCTTCGCCCATGGATTTTATGCCATCATCATCTATGCAGAGCTACCGTAGGTAGCTATGATAGCCAGCCGCAGACCTTCACTGTAAGGTTTGTGGGTACCGTACCGCCGTACCGTAGCTCCATACTCTATTAGAAGCCATTAGACTACGATGTAGCTAGTTGTACCGAATCAGTGGTGGCTGGCTATTTTGTTAGTGGTACAGCTAAACACAGCATGCAGTTTACCATTACAGGGAGTGGTACCAGTGTACCAGTACCTTCTAAAATAGTATTAGTGTTGGACGTGTCCTTTACAGTTCGCTTTGAGTACCGATGAAGGTGTTCTTTCCTCATAAAGTCAAGATAAGCCTAAATATATTAAGAAGGCTAGTCTATCTCACCAATATGCATAAGTAGCACGTGCAATAGTGGACCAAATTCTTCATGTGATGACTTGGAGTCACCTAGATAGTCAATCCGAACATCCGAACAGTCTTATGGAACAGGTTGAAGCGGAATTATGCATTATTTAGCCTTTCAGGTTGCAGCTATTTCAGGACGGTGGGAAGCAACTTGCGAAATGCAAGACAACCGCAAAGACAGGCGGCTGGGTAGTCGGTGGGGTTGCTCCTCTCTCATTCTTCCCACAACAGCAGCAGTCAGCTACTAGACTAATCCAAGCAACACGAGCAGATCAAAACATCATCCCAATCCCAATCACCGTACCAAAGCCATACAGTATAACTAAGAATGGACTGGAGTAGTCGAAGCAGCAGCAGCATTGCCGATGCGGAGGGCGACATGGATCAACTATTCGTCAATGAGGACCAAGAAGAAGACGAAGAAGACTGCACGATGCAACTGACTCGCACGGAATGGGAACGAGCTCGCGCCATCAAAGCAGCAGTCGAAGCATGTGACGACGTCCGGAATGTTCCAGACTTTGAATATGCGAAATTGGCCATTTGCTGTAGCGCCAGTCAAAAAGTGGAGCAGATTGTGGAGATTTGTTACAAATTGCAGGCATTTCGAGATTTGTACTCTCTCAAGGAAACCATGGAAGACGCCACTACCACACTGCGGTCGTTCTTTTTTCATCAACCGGGCTTATTGATGGACGTGTCGTACATTCCTTCGGAAAAGTGTTACACGAGCAGCAGTGACATGGCCAAGATGAATTTTGATCGTGTGCAGACGGACGAAGAATGGCGGGCATTTCAAGGCGGGTGTTACTACTGGATTCGCAGTATGGAATCGGATTTCACCGCCATTCGCAATGGCATTATTGTATTGAATGAGTGCGAAGGCATGAGTATGATGCGCAACTTTAACGTGGTGGCACAAGAACGTGCTGTCCACGAACTCTGGGCGTACTATCCCGCCCGTCACAAGGAATCGGTATGGTTGAATGCCCCCACTGCCGCCACCCTCTTTTACGGAATCCTGAAACGCATCATCAATAGCGAGCTGTTGCGAAGTTGGAAATTGGATGGTAAATTGGACGGATTCGATGGACGACTCGATCAACTCTTTCACATGCCCACCATGGAAATTGCACAACAAGCACTGCTACAACGAATGCAACGATTTCTACAAAAACGAAATGACAATATACAAACATTCACATTGGACAAGGCAAGGCTAATAGTACCGTAGCGTAGTACCAAGTGAATGAATCTAATCAGATTAGATTAGATCAGATCAGATCAAATGAAATCAGTGATAGATAGATAGATAATAGTACCATATCGGTACGATACCCTGGACATTCCTTTGCCGCGCATGGAGGCAAGGCAAGGGTATATAATACCGTAGTGGTGGGAGCAGGCAAACTTAGAGGATGATCTTCGTAACAAAATCGCTGGTCGTTCCGTACCTCTGCTGTAACTGCCACAACTAGTGTACTAGCTCACGCCTACAGCAGCAGTTTGCACCTCGTCTTTACCACACAAGTAGCACTCTTAAATATATATATCACGCCGCCCCAGCATACTCTCCCACCGCTGCCTCTTAGTATACTTACTCTGATTTCGTAGCCTCCACTCGCTTGTCTTTCCAAGTAGCGCCTTGCCATGACTTGACCATTCCACGGTAAGGATTGGGCGGGAAGGTATAGTAGTTACCTTTTTTGTGGTTGTTTTGCCTTCTGGCAAGTATTGAAGAGGATTATGCCACCAGACTTGATGCATGCCCTGTGGATCACCGATTTGCCGGGCATGCTCCGGTGGCATGGGACACGATCGACCTGCCCACTGATGTGCCGTTGAAAGAGGCAGTCTCCCCAATTCAAGTTGGCATCAATGCCTGCTTGAACAATGCTGGAACCTCCTGATTTGGGAAGATGGACAAAATTGGGAGGAGGGAATAGATCATTTGCCTCTTTGATGTGGGTTCGTTGTTGTGCAAAACAAAAACAAAACAAAAAAACGGATTCCCAGGATCGTCGAGCCTTAGGCCGCTGTGGTTGCAGAAGATTGTGAAGTGTGGCATGTGGATAGAGTGCTCCAGGTACTGCTGGATTGTCTATAGCGGTACTACTAGAAGTGCTGCATGAGCAACGTCTGCTCTAATTTGGGCAGCCAGCAATGTACGGTACTACGGTACGGTGTGGTACGGTTCGGCTTGCCACGGTTGGTACCGGAATGCTCTCAAGAACCGTGATTGCACTGTGAGTGTCGAATCGCTTGAGTAATCACGAGCCTTACAATGTGCGACTGGCCGCACAAGACCAATGGGAGCATAAAGTCTAAGTGGATTACACGATAATTCCCACCACAGATCTAGACTACTGTACATACCGTACTTGTAGAGACTTAAAAAATGAGTCACGGATAGAGAAGAGTCTCAAAACGACTTAAATCTTATGGATAGGATAGCTCAAATGTGCCCTAAATTGAAGCGGGGCTGAACCTGAACCTATTCTACATACAGGTATCGCAGATCGCAGACACTCTGAGAGCTCCTTCTGTACCGCTACCTGGTACTAGCTAGTAGGTTGTCGCGTCAAAAGTGTCAAGATTGATCATTCGATTATTACTAGCTAGCTAGCTAGTACCAGGTAGCTAGAAGAAGCGGAAGGGTTCGATCTATGAATAAATTGTGAAATTTGAAAACCGACAAAAAGAATCTACAATACCGTAAAAATGTGGCTCAAATTCCAAGAATATTCTTTCAAACGCCTAAACACTACGCTTCACAGCCAAATTTGATCAGGGAAACAATTTTGTTCGACAATCTTTAAGGAATTTTCCATTCAGAGAAAAGCAGCATGCCAAAGCGAACAATCCTGTCTGGGATACGAAGAAGCTCACAATCACAGCACCATTCTGTACCGGTATTAGCTCAATAGCCTCGCATAGCACTTTCGTTTGACGCGAAAGCCCAGTCCTTTATAAATGAAAACCAGATTCCGCCACAAAGTCTACCTTCCCCCACAAAACCAGCCTCGTCGTGGTCTCATCAAGTCTGAACTGATCAAGACATTGCTAAAAGATGAACCAAAAGCTGTACATCATCCTGATTCGCCTCCTCGCAGTAGCGGGCTTTGCCACGTCCATCTTTGCGTGCTTCTTCCCTAGTCACTCCATTACAGTCAATGAACGACCTTGGGTAGAAAACTTGTTTGACATCAGCTGTGACGCGCTTACTGGGGAGAATCGTGATCATTGTGAAACTTCCTACAACACTCGCCATTACACACTGTGGCACTCTTCTGGCAATTTCTTTTCCATTCAAGACTGGGATGGTGGCGTTCTGTGTGGATCCAGAGATGAGTTTGAGTTGCCATCAGAGACCAACCCTGACATCACAGTCCTTACTGTGGAGAACCTGGGGAAATGTAGCAATACCGACGCTGCTGTGGCCATGGCATTCACCATCCTGACCTGCTGTTTTGCTGCATTCGTTGCCATTTACATCACTGTATTAGCACATCATCATGATGCCATGCTTCAAGTGCTTCTTGCCGTTGCCACTGTGTGCTCAGTCAATGCCATTGCCATCTACTGCTTGGAGATAAATCCACTCCGGCTTAAGTCAACATTTTGCGACAGTCAGACTCTATTCGAGCACTGCGAGGAAAAGATTGGAGAAGGCTTCTGGTGTCAGGTGGCAACTGCTTCCATTTCCTTTCTTGCCCTTGCGTTGACAGTACTAAGGCAATGTGTTGGAGTGTCATCATCGGAAAGAGATGGAGCCCATCATGGTGTTCCCTTCTACAAATCCCTGCACTTCTATGTCCAACTGGTGCGCTTTTCAGAACTGGCGGTTTTGATGATTGGTGTGGTTTCAACCTGGACTATTGTCCGAACAACCCTACCGGATACAACAAACACAACAACAAGCAATGATAATCTGCTCAGCCATGCATTTGCTGGCAAAGGAGGGAAAATGGAGACAGACATCAACTTGTGGCAGGGGCTCTTCTGTCATCCCTTTGGGGCAAGACTTTTCTTGTGGTCAGTGGTCTTGAATAATGCAGAAGAAGGCAATGGTGGTGAAGACTCAGAGCTGGAAACATTTGGCCATTGTGACTCCAAAGCTATTTTTCATGTTCAGCTTGGAATGATCATGGCAACAGTGTCCGCCATCACTGCCATGACCTTCCAAAAAGATGCCAAAAGTATGCCACTGGCCTACCTTGTTGGATTTATCATGCATTTCATGTCTATGGTCAAGCTCATATGGTCCATCACAGAGTTCATGTTGGATGTTTACCCAGGACGAAGCCGCATTGATCCATCTTACTGCTCTCGGTGGACTTCCTTTGTTCCCACAGGGGGGACTTGTGACATTGACATTGGGCCAGGCTTGTGGTTAGCAGGAGGGGCACTGGCTGCTGTGGCGATAAGTTTTCTTGGAGAAGTCACGCTGCAAAGGAACACTGATTACAGTGTAGTAACGGCATGTAAAACTTTGCTGGGAAGGGTCCGCCAAGGGAGATTCACTGATCTTGGTAAGATAGGATGCGCCAGCCACCACAAGAGGAGTGGCGCTATGTTTTGATCACATTCTTACCATTCACGCTGTCGTTTCACAGTCAAAGAAGCAAGCGAGCATTCCCTTCACATGGATGACACTTTTAACGAGATCACCCAGAATGGCCAAGAGAGCACCCTGAATGACAACGAAGTTGCAACCAGCGGGGAAAAGATTGATTGTTGAATGGCCCCACCACGTCCTCAAGCATGATTGAGCTCGAGATGTGTGCGTAGCTTTTTAATACATGAAATAGTTAGTTGCGAATTGTGAATCCAACAAATTGGGGCTGCCAAGTCACCCAGTCTGCTAGAGGAAAATCGTTGGCTCCAATAGGTTCGCAAGAATGCAAGTTGAGAAATGTTGAAGCACGCCGCCTTATCGTTGGAAGGATGATGGAGAATGAAACAATTGGTGTACAGTAGGGCTGTAAATCACTCTAAACTGCGCAGACTGCTTCGAAGCAGGCGCAAACCCCACCGTCAGCCACGGTCATAGCTATCGGAACAATGGAAGGCTTGCAACCTTTTCTTGTTTGAACGTCTGGACCGCAGTACCATCTGATTTGGCACTGGACTCAGTGCAACACAACACAAAAAGCAAAACAAGGTCATAGCAGATATGGTGCCAATTGACAGGTTGCTCCTGCCACAGCCTCGATTAACCCCCCACTTGGTGCAAGGGTCTATCTCACAGAGAGGCAGCCAGTGGCACCCTCACGGGAAACCAACTTGCAGAGGATTTCAAGGTGGTGCATTCATGTACTACTACAGCAATCTACATTGGCAGACGATCCCCTCATGAGCGAAATGCCCAGCACCAAAGGTCCAAGAAATGGCCGGAAAGGGCTGGTAGAGTTGGCACTAAACTCAGCAGCAAAAGTCGACTGCGCCCGACGGTCAGGTAGAGTGTCCTCGGTTTGGAATCCTTAGTGTGCGGTAGCTCGCTGACTGGTAAGTACGGCAGTACGAGGCACGCGACTTTGGCTGTAATCAGAGTGAAGTTTCGTTTTGGTTGCCGCTTCGCTCAAAGGACAGTCAAGGCTTGGAGGAGGTCGTTGCGGTGGGATTTGATTCGTTAGTTAACCCATTCCATTGCCACGCGGGGAGCAGGAGAGAGGTGATGCGGTGCAGAGCTCGCATCGTTCCAACTCGGAAGTATAGTACTAGTACCGGACGACCGACGAATGAGGAACTCGAATGGTAAATTGTATATGTCATGGTGGCGGAACGAAGATCTTTGGGCGGGTTCAGCTTCGAATGAGGTTTACAACTCCGAGCGAGCTTCTGGCCTCGGGAGTTCCTTGAGCTACCGCACGTTAGGCTTGGACATGTGAGCTGACCGTGGAAGTTTCAGGTGTTTGCGTGTTGTGGCTTTGTGTTTCTGTGTTTCTGTGACCAATGAACTTCAACTTCAGCATCGTCCTTCTTGAATGATCATTCAGTGATCCAATCGTCTCAGGGTCATCGAGACATTCCAGAAACCAACCGGTACAAAGGCGCGGTAGCGGTACTCCGCAACACTGTCACAAACAGAAAATCGACATGAATCGCAGCGTCAACTACTGTACGGCAGAACAAGGAACTCAGCCGAGAGTTGAAACACAAGAAAACACCATCCCGAAGTTTCCCAGCCTCGAGCGGGAGATAGTCAAGAAACATAGCCATCGTTGCGCCTAAAAAGTTGATCTAAGCAGAAGGATTGATAAAAGATCGCAGACAGAAGAAGACCGAAAGAAGGCACTGACAGCGTGATAGTTTGCCGATTCGATTCACCAGAAGGACTGGCAATGTCAAAGACGATATGAATCAAAAGCTCTGTATTATTCTGACTCGGTTGCTGACAGTGGCAGCCTTTGCCGCATCCATCTTTGCCTGCTTCTTTCCCCTTCACACAATCACCGTTAATGAACATCCCTGGGTATCCCATTTGTTCGATATCAGCTGTGAGGAGCTTACTAGAGAGAATAGGGAATATTGTGAAACATCCTACAACACTCGCCATTACACACTGTGGCGCTCCACTGGCAATTTCTTTTCCATCCAAGACTGGGATGGTGGCGTTCTCTGTGGATCCAGAGAAAATTTTGAGATGCCATCTGAGACCAACCCTGACATTGCAGTTCTTACTGTGGAAAACCTAGGAAAATGCAGCAATGTTGCTGCCTTTGTTGCCATGACATTCACCATTCTAACATGCAGTTTTGCTGCGTTTGTTGCCATTTACATCACTGTGCTGGTACATGATCATGATTTCATTCTGCAAATGCTACTGGCATTCACGACAGCCTACTCAGCAATAGCAATTGCTGTGTACTGCTTGGAGATAAATCCACTCCGGCTAAAGACAACTTTCTGTGACAGTCAAACACTCTTTGAACACTGTGAACAAAAGATGGGAGTGGGCTTCTGGTTTCAAGTGGGGACTATTTCATTGTCATTTGTGGCCCTTGTTTTGACGTTCGCAAGGGGTTCCTCCAAATCAATACAACTAGAGGAGAAAGCACCAGAACCTGGAGCTCATCACAGTGTTCCCTTCTACAAATCCCTACACTTTTATGTCCATCTGGTGCGGTTTTCAGAACTGGCGATTTTGATCATTGGTTTGGTTTCAACCTGGACCATTGTCCGAACAACCCTACCGGAGACAACGAACACTACAACAAGCAATGATAATCTGCTCAGCCATGCATTTGCTGGCAAGGGAGGGCAGATGGAAACAGAGATCAACTTGTGGCAGGGGCTCTTCTGCCATCCCTTTGGGGCAAGACTGTTTCTGTGGTCAGTGGTCTTGGATCACCATGAAGATTCAGAGCTGGAAACCTTTGGCCATTGTGAATCCAAAGATATTTTTCATGTTCAACTTGGAATGATCATGGCAACAGTGTCTGCCATCACTGCCATGACCTTCCAAAAAGATGCCAAAAGTATGCCACTGGCCTACCTTGTTGGATTCATCATGCATTTCATGTCAATGGTCAAGCTCATATGGGCCATTACAGAGTTCATGTTGGGTGTTTACCCAGGAAGAAGCAATATTGATCCATCTTACTGCTCTCGGTGGACTTCCTTTGTTCCCACAGGGGGAACTTGTGACATTGACATTGGGCCAGGCTTGTGGTTAGCCGGTGGGGCCCTGGCTGCTGTGGCGATAAGTTTTCTTGGCGAAGTCACCCTGCAAAGGAACACTGAATACAGTGTAGTAACGGCATTCTGGACCTTGATTGGACGTGTCCGACAAGGGAGAATCGCTGATTTGGGTAAGTTGCTACTTTACGGACTTGCAGTTGTGTTGATGTAGCAACATGCTTGCTAACCAATAACATGCATACCACCCTTTCCACAGCCAATAGTGCAAGTGAGCATTCCCTTGACGTTGATGGTACCGTTGCACGATGATATTGACAGATGAGAATCGGGGAGGTTTGAAAGTCAAACTCGGGTGGAGTCTACCAGTGTATCCCTGAGCAGCCATTGCTACCACATAAGATTGCTTCATAATTACAGGTAGGAGCCAATGGCAGTTGGTGAGAACGACAATTCCAGTAGGACAACTTTTTCCGAAAGGCATGCATAATTAGTGCTGTATGCTAAGCGAGAGTCCATTGATTGTGGTGCTACTGCTGTCGTTCTGGCTGGAGGCTGTCATTTGTAAGGCTCTGGGCCTTCTGTAAATCTGAATTCATTCAATTTAGCCCTGGGTCGGCATGGTGAACAACTGGTGCCGGAGCTCCCAACTGGAATGTTCGGTTGGCAGATAGATCATTAACCGCGTGATCTATCTTGTTGCTTGTCCTGGTGGTTCTTTATTAGGTCAAGGGCTATGAAGAAACAGTCCTGCATATTTGCCATCTCCGTACATGTTATGTTGCCATCAACATCTAAATCACAATCGACCGAAAGCAAGGAAAGACCACTCAGGGAACATCTTCTAAGTACGAACTGACGGTGCCCGCCAGTCTGGTACGACGAAACAAATCACTTTTTAAGGCATAGCAAGTTGCTGGCTAGCTAGTAGTCAGAACAGGACAAGACTAAAGCATTACGAGAAGCAATGATTCGATTGAAGCAAGTTCCCGAGAGTAGCAAGCAGCCATTTGCGCCAATCTTGCTTTTTCTACTAGTCACTCTCCGCTCTCTGGGATGGCGGTACTCACACTGTCAGCGGGGCCGGGTGAATGATCCGTCGAGTGTAGGGTACATGCAATGAAGTTGACAGTACTATGGATGGATTGAATCGAATCGGTAGTTGTTGGACATCTCTGCCTCGTCGCCCCATAGCATGGGTGAACAAGAATCTAAAAACGCACCTCCTCACTTAAGGGACCGTTGGCCCCAGAGCTTGATCGACAGCCCAACCACTGGTTGGCTGGTTGGTGAGCAAACCTTTAACCTTTGCCTTTGGCTTTCCCTTGTCTGGTCTTGTCTCATCACGGTTGCTGGCCATTAATTCTGACATTATCAGCCAAAGCAACATCCCCGAAGATCCAAAGCTGTCCAAGTAGCAATCATCAAAGAGGAAGATAAGTAGACTACTCCGAGTAGACTACGTAGAAATAATAGAATAATAGTAATCACTCCCGCTCTCGGTGAATTGGGACGGAAGCCTCCAGAGCTTTCGGAGAAGTCAGAAACGGTGTAGTGAGAGAAGAGAGGTGGAGGTTCACACCTTTGCTTTTCCTTTTTACATCACTGGCAGCTACTGGCCAATTGCGAACCACACTTCAAGGACATCTCTTACACGTAATCGCAACCTGCCGTCTTCACCTTTTTCGGTATCCTTGAGTAGCTAGCCAGCTGACTTTCAGCAGCGCTTTGCTTCAGCATAGTTTCTCAGTTTCATGATGGCCACATAGGTCATGGAGGATGTCTCTAGATCCATTCCAGCCATGCGACTGAACACCTCTATCTAGACTAGACTACTACTCAGTAGCTAGTCTACACGTACTATCTACCGGTACTACTCAGAGTAGTCTAGTATCTTGGGGGAGCTCTCTTTGCAGCTCCGTTAGAAAGTGTGGAACTTGTGGAACTTGTGTTTTGGGTTACTGTACTCTGAAGCTACTCTGGCTGGTAGCAAAGGCAGCACGGTGGCGTTTGGAGTTTGGCCATCAGGATGAGACGGGTTTCTTTTTGATGTGTACCACTGAGATCCACTGTCGCAATTAACGAGGGAAAAGGACGAAAAGGAGCTGAAAAGGTTTTTTCAGTGGAAGATGTCGGAAAGGAGAGGACCACTGAAGTACAGTCTGTAGACAGTGCAGTTCATCCGACGACAGTCAGGTCTGTTCATCCGTTCATCCAATTCTTCTTTGCGTGAATAGTGAACTACTTCTGGAATAAAGGGAGTATTCAGGGAAAGAAAGTGGGGTACGGCGGAGTATTTTATTTAAATGCTTATGCTCCATTTCTGAAGCAACTATTGAGACTGCTTCGCCAGAGAATGGTTCATAATGACGAAACGGTATTGATCCAGTGGTACCGTACACCGTACCGGTCTGGGCGGCGCCGCTACCAGGTACCTAGTAGCTAGCTAGTAGCAGAACTCTAGCTACCGTAGTAGCAAGCTAGCAGTCAAAATTTGATGGTTTGTTTCTCGTTTCTCGGAGCAACTTTTCCCAACTAACTAACTGATCGTGGGGAGTCGGGAGAGATGCCTTTGGGCTCTTCAGTGACAGGATTGCTTTTCTCACAATTCAGATCTGGCAGCAGCCCACAACGAAACTTTTGAACACTCGATCCATCCATCCATCAGACAAGATGACAATCCCAACCTTCATCTACGTACCCATCAACTGTGCTTCTTGCCAAGATGAAGACTTTGAATGCCCTCAAGACAGCACAGTGGAAGTGAAGCGACCAAGCATTTTGGATGACACAACCCAAAACAGCCACTACTCCACTGCCTCTCGCTCCAGCCGATGGTCCTCAGAAGCTGAAGCTGACAGCACCCTACCCATGATGCCCCAGCGAGCAACACTCAAGAAGTGCTCCAGCAGTAACTGCATGCCCAGGCTTCCACAACGAAACAAGGAATTCATTGATCGCCGCAATGCCAGAAAGCCCAGCAGATCCTTCAGCCGTTGAATCTTCTTGTACAAGACACAAGCAAGACTGTACCAGGAGACCCTTGCCACGGGGAAAGTTAGAGGAATCCACCTGGAGCTAGTTTGTCCACTACGATCTGCTCCAGCATAGCTACATACATACACCATACACTGCACAGCAACTATTTGCCATAAACTGTACTATAATAGAAGAAATACAAACAAACAACCGTATCATTGCTTCTACCAATTTAGCTAGCACGCAATCATAGTTAGATGCAATTCGAGCGAAATTGATCGTTCGGAGTTTGCTTGAGGTTATCGCTCTGGTTTCGCGAAACTGCTCTCCGCACCCTGAAGGAGGGAAGGGATGGTCCATGCAGCCATCTCTGGTTGAATGAGTGTCATCAAAAGTTGACCCCTTGATAGGGTGGTTACGAAGACATGCATGGCATCAAATCTCGGCTCTGGACGCTCGTGGTCCTTTCAAAGTGCATTGATCGTTTTGGCCGAAGAAATTTCCAATTCATCTTGCTCAACGGAGGCAGCCTGAAGACGATTGGAAGTCATGCTAAGCTAGATACTAGCTAGATTAGATAACACTATTGGTTTTGGTCCTGGTTGCTCCCATTCATTGATGTGATGATTGGTTGAACTAGTAGCTTGCTTGACCCGTCCACTTACTTCTAGCTAGTAGTAGTGTATGCACTCGACGTGGCCTACGGTCGGACCATGGCACACAAGTAAAGGGCAGAATAAATTCACATTGCTCTCATTATTGTTTGTATTGCAAACCTTGCCCTCTGGCGGCGAGCAAATGTGCGCTTTCTCAACTGCAAAAGTGGAGCAAAGAGCCCATACACTTGTGTACCGGTATTGCTCTGGAGTGCACGACAGTCGAGCCCAGTCTCATGCCATCCCTCCTGCCTCCGCATGGCAGGACATTGCTGACGAGCTACGTAACGCCCCGTTCTTGGCGCAGGGAACGCCTGTATGGATACGGAAGCAAAATAATAGCAGCTGAGCGACCGCTGGTCCCAGTTTAGCTGGTCGCGCCCTTCACTTGCTTGTAGGTGCTTCCTAGCAGCGATGCGTTGGCGCATGTCTCTCGTCAAGGACGGAAAATCTCGGCCGATCTTAGCTAGTCCTCCTTCCCACCCGGGGGAAGAGGTCGGCAAAGCCTGCCGTGGACTTCTTGCAACCGGTACCAGCATGCTTCAGAGCCTGAAAATCTCCACCTCAAAACGCAATCAGGATATACTCTCGACAGTCGACTCTCGACTGATGCCCAAAGCCAAGAGCCGGGTGCAGGGTCTATGAGAGCAGAGAGGTTTCTGGTTTCTGTCGGTCCTGGTTTTGAGACTCTAGCTGGCTAGCTAGAAACTCTACGATACCGGGAGAGCTGCGGCCACCGGCACCAAGCACCAAGTGAGTTTAGTATCATCAGATCATCATCTATAGATATAGAGCACTGGCCAGTACTAGACTAGTATATTTAAGATAATCACAAATTTTCATTGTGCACGCGGAAGCTGGATCTGAGGCTTAGTGGACACATGCACCTTCTTTCCTTTCTACGAGTACGGAACCATTCCTCACACGGAGGGGGGGGGGCAGAGCGTACACACTTTCTTCAATGAATCAATTAATGTCAGTGCCGGATTTCTAATACTAGAATACTAGCTAGCACTTTAGTTTTAGTTACTTTTTCTCGGATCATTTCGACGGCGACTCGATGCTGGTTGCCCTCTATTCTCTATTGTCTATAGTGTCTCGAAGCAGCCCCGAAGCACAGAACAATGCATTTGGAGGCCTGGGCAGTTGATCAGTTTGAAAGAGCTGGGCTTCACCTTCCGCACCTCTCTCCTCTCACAATTCAAAGTTGAAGCCATCAACCCACCCAAAACGAAGCAGCAGTGTTCCCAAACAATCAAGATGACAATCCCTGCCTTCATCTACCTGCCCATCATTATTTACACTGCCTCCCAGGACAGCGGCCTTGAATGCTCTGAACACACATTTGAGTCGAATCAACCCAGTGCTTTGGGACGTACGCTCCACAGCCAATCCTCCACTTCCACACAAGGAAACCGCTGGTTTTCAGAAGCCAGGGCCGACAGCAGCCTTCCTATGCCCAAGCGAATTGTTTCCAAGAAAGGCTCAAGCATCAAACTTCCACGACAAACTGTGGAATTCACCTACACCAACAATGCAAGACAACCCTTCAGATCCTACAGCTTTTGAATGGCATTGCAGTCCCCCCTGTATCATCAAGAAAGAGGTTCCAGTCTTCGCATAATGCAATCTTTACGACTCTATGCAGCTATGGCTGGTTACATGCAATCCTTGTACATAAAACAATTAGAAAATATTTATCTTATTCAAAACTTGCAGTTGGATCACAAATCTAGGACCGATAATATTTGCAGCAAGAACAGAACTAAGCTTCCCCAGTAATGCCGTGGTTCAAAGATGGATTCCCGAGGAGTGCCACCTGAAATACCCAAGACTACGAGATAGATGATTGATTCCAAATTTCTTGCCTGCAACATGAGAACGCATGGGCGAGACGACGAACCAACAACTGAGGTATTCCTTGCTCCAATTGGGCGGGCTCTTCGGGCTTCAGTTGGGACTTCTGCAACTGCGTCTTTGTCAGGTCCAAAAATCCAATCCATTTGGTCTTTGTTCCTGTACTTTGAGCAGCTACAAACGGTACCGGTGCTGTTGCTGTTGCTGAAAGACCCTCGCGAGGCGGTGGAGCCTGATCAATTCCCGAGCGCGTGTCGACAATTTCGCGTGACAAATGGAATGGCTCATGAAAGTTGTTGTCTTCTGATCTTTGTGTTTTGATGGACGGCAACAACCATCAGTGCCTCAGCGCCGCCGTCAGCAAACATAACGGTACGGGTACACAGCATCATCGATGGCAATAAAAGAACAACACCAGGGATTCCAACGTGGTCCCCCACCGTAGTACTAACCTGGCCCGACGATGCTTAACTTCGCTGAGCAGACGGGAAGCGGTGCTGTCATCGTGGTATGGTCGTTCCTGACGATATTGATGTTGTGGTACTTCACTAGCATTTTAAATCACGGATTGTTCACAGGTCAAGGCATCATACTTAGGCAAAGAAGAGGCGGAAGTTGTTGGCAGGACAGTCGGTGGCAGAGGAAGGATTTGTTGTTGCGATACTTCGTTGCTTCTCGTTTCCTTCATAATGTGCCATGTGCCCGTGGCATTCATTCATTCGATCTGTACTAACCCCACCACTGCTTTTTCAGGCAAAGAACTCTGGTAGACTGACACCATGAGTAGCCAGTTAAGACTGGCCAATGTGTCGAGCAGAGTCGAGTCAAGTCTTTCCTCAATCCAAACAGCCAAAGCCGCTTCCCCCTCTGCTTCTGTAACTTTTGTATCTCGCACCTTCACCGACGAGTGACTCGTTGGCGGCCGTTTACTGAGTCCTTTCTGCACGTTGATCCGCTGGGAAAGGTGTCATCTTGCGGTGGTTCCTTTGTGGGGATGGTTCGTACTCGTGCAAGGTAAAGTCGGTTACTTCTGTTTGGCAGGTCGATCGCCCCAGTCTCGTCCACTCTTGTCTTGCCTACCGCATGGTACGGCATGTCCTTTTTCTTCCTTTGGTGGTCCTTTCTTCCTCTTGAAAACATTCATGACACCTTGCCGATGCTCCTTGGAGCTGCTTCGGGCCTTTGAGGGAGCGAGAGTGAATAGGCGGCCATTTCATGAGTCCGTTCACCTCGCTCTTCGCCGGAAAATGGTGTCGTCTTGCGGTGGATCCAGGTGGGTGCTTCGAGATTCAAGATGTCGTCTTGGTTTGGCCGTCGTCATTGTCTCGTCATACAACAGGCTAGTTCAGCGCGTTTGTTTGCTCTCAGACCCAGGCATGCCATTAGTAGCTCTTTGCTCTTCGGAGTCAACATTGCCGTGGTTGGAGGAGTCTGGGGCAGAAACTTTTTGAAGACTGCTGTCCTCACACTCCTTGCTGGGCCAAAGCGGCATGCTTGGGTCTCTTGCTTCTTCTTTCGACTCGAGTCTCACCTTTCTCTTGCTTTGCTCTTAGGTTTATCGACGTCCGTACACCGTCTCTCAGTGCGGTACTGGTGCCATTCACCGGTGCTCCTTGGAGCTGCTTCGAGCCTTGGAGAAGAGTGAGGGCGGCCATTTCACCTTTGGAAAGCAGAGTACGCCGCGGAAAGTTGGCTGGCATGTGATTGGCTGGAGAGCTCCAGCAACTCTCTTTGGAACAGGACAGAAGCAAGAAGAAGTGCGTCATGTAAAACTTGCCCCGATTTCTTTTCTCTTTTCGCAATTTGCTAGGATTCCAGGATGCTTTGCTCCAGTCCTCTTGCTTGAAGGATGCACCCAGTACTGGTTTGGCCCCAAACACAAGGAGGGAGAGATACAGTGAACAATTCGCACACAGACGAACCCTACAGCTTCGCAACGCATACTGGAAAGTTGAAGGTAAAGTGGAATTCTGGATAGAACCATAGTGGTCGTTCCAAAAAGCACCACCAGTGGGAGCACTGCACTGGCCAATATTGCACACTCCCGTGGTTTTTGATTCCGGCATGTACCTGGTACCGCAATGATCTGACATCGCGATGGAATCGGAGCCTCTCTGGGTCGCTCCTTGCTGCGGTTTCGGATACATGAGCGCACCAGGGCAGCCAACTATGTACTTTTCGATCGTGCGGATCCATTTATTTGCTGCCAGCATCAATTGGCCTCATTTCGAGAGTTTCTACAACTTGCCCCATCAAAATGACATACTTGTTCGAGCGTAGTACCCAGCTAGCTAGCACCCGTAGCATTTTGGTAGGACATTGTGGCCTCAAAAGCATCAGATTCTTGGAAACTGATGCCCAAACTCACTGTTGGCACCGTACCGGGTACCGTACCGCCCCGCCAGTACCGTTGCGATGCCCCTCCACGTGCCCTTCTTAGAGGAACATATGTCTTTTATAGTTCTTTTAGATGTGGTGAACTCTTTGGATCATTATAGAGGAGATGTTGTAGGATGTATGCATACTAATAGAAGACTTAGTGATCTTTGAACTTCAATATCCCTTACGCCAAACTGTTTCCATCAGATTCTTTCTTTGCCAGTCTCCGCCGATCTTGCCCCGCCAGTCGCCACCGATGATGCCAGCTTTCAGTTTCTGCTGCTCCTATCTTGAAGTTAGAGGAGCCTACATTCTGTTTGGAGTAGACTCAATGCAGAAAGCGACAGTTTGGGGCTCAGGTGCATGAGTGTGGTTTGATTTCATTCGGCGGGTGGTGAGCGAAGTCATTCTCTTTTTAGCAAGACTATTCGCACGATCCTAAAAAGAACCTGTCACGAAGCTCCAGTGAAACTATTACAAACATTTCTTTAAGGCGGGTTTCTTTCGGTATTGGGTACCTGGTACGCACAACTTCGGGGACGTGACTCTGCATGCATTGGCTGAAAACTTCAGGCGCAATTAATATTATGCATCCTCTACAGATACCGGTAGGTGGACACACTGTTTGCTCTCGCTCTGTTGGCATACGGTACCAGTAGCCTGCTTGAACCAACTTACTTGATCCAACCTCAACCCAGGGGACATAAGGATACCAAGCACCTAGCTAGCTAGCTAAGCTCCATCACTGTGTTTGGTGTTTTGTGTTTTGTGTTTTGTGTTTGGGTTGGGTCCTGGTTGGTTGCACAGGAGGTGCCCTTCAGGATGCCCTTCTCGTTTGAGTTTGTCTGATCATTAGAAAAGAGAAGTACTAGTAGAAGAATATTTATTTGTTCTAGTTCTGTGTTCTGTTCACCGAGCGATCCAGACAATAAGTAAATAGTGCTCCCACGCAGCTGCTTCAAGCTGAGGATGACCCAAGGAGCTCCCAACGAACGCTGGATGCACCTTGGGATCTTGGGTTCGAAAGACTCTCACAATTTATTTTTCCAACCCAACAGTTCAATCCTCCTCTCAAAAACAGCTACACAACATTATGGATATTCCAGCTTTCATTGTAATCCCAACCATTGTTCCCAACAAGTATGATGAAGGAAACACAAGTATTTCCTCTTTCTCAAAGCCTAACACTCGATGGCACAGCGAATCTCCCAGCAATCGTGATGAAATTCCTAGATCGCCACCTCGGCCTGCCTCCTTGCCTGACTACTGCCTCTGTCATGGTCTCCCCTACAACCCTCGTCGTTGCACTCCAAAGATCTCATCCGTTGCTGCTCTGCGTGCCCCTCGCTATCCCGTCCGTCGATCTGACAGCCACGCCCCTCGATACCCCATGCGTCAAGTGACCAGAAGATCTTTATTATCATCAAGCTTGAGCCAGTAAGACCCTTGTACCTACTACTGAGGCTCCCAAAAGTGCTGCGCCCATGGCTATGATATCTGTCCTTGCACAAACAACTTGCCACAAAGGCAGCCACAGTCTGGACATTAAAAGTGAATCATACCCTGTCGAAAGAAAACCGCAAAACAACTAAAGCTGGGAATGCTGAAGCATGCAAGATCCGTGTAACACAACTAAATAATAAAGAAATGCACATCCTGTACAATGGCTCTTGACTGCATAATCGCTGTGTTGGCAGGGGGTGGGGGCGTTTCTTGCTTTCTCTCCAAGCATGGGGACGCCAAGTCCTTCTCAGTGGCTGCAAATGCCACTAGAATTTGGCCTGTAAAAAAGGCAGCAAAGGAATTGCGCCGTGACAGGCACGACGACCTTTCGACCATTTATTCCATTATAGAGATCACAAAGAGACTTTTGAAGTGCTCTAGCGCTCTCATTGCGTTCCATTGACTTGCATGATTTCGTTCTATCCGTGGTCATTACACTCATGGTGCGCGACAAAGGAGTACGTCCTTGGTTGAGCCCAAGCGGCCAGTAGATGTATTGTGATTGTTGTGTTGGTCGTGCCTGCATGGTCATAGCGCACTGTGCTCTCCCGACAAACTTTTTTGATTGCCTGGTGAAAGGTTCACTCCTATCGCCGTTCTTTGTCGGACTTTGCTTCGACTTGGTACTTGGCTGGATCATTTGCGTTAGTTAGACAAATAATGACTCCTTAGAAGTCGAGTCCAAGTTGGGGCTGGGACAAGAGGAGATTTGGGAAACGCAAGACTACCGCTGCTAGTGGGGCGGTGTCCAACCATGTACTTCGCTCAGCAACCGAGAACCGCAGATACAATACAAGCACCCGTGTCTCTTTTGATCGATTGCCTGGAGGCGGAGTATACCTTCACAGTGACAGCTGACTCGCTGTGCCCTTGGGACGATCATTTGCTTGTTCTTGTTACTGTACCGCTTGGGCCCCCAGTATCCGAAGGAACACATGATATGATCCGGCAAACTATTCTTTGAACTGAGGAACCCAACAAGGCATCGTTCTCTAAAGACGAAGATATCCGCTTGATGGGAAAGTGGCATCTCTGGTAGTTTCAAACCAAGCAAGCAAGGTTCCAAAACTGAGGTGCTTCATAGCTGCTTATTGTAGCATTGCTTTTTATCCTTGGGCGGTAGTACCGGCAATCAGTGCTGTCGCAGCTTTGAACCGCCCAGCTGTGAGAAAGCACTCGAAGGGCATTCATGCGAGACCCATTTGATCGTAACCTGACTCGACCCCGCTACGGTATGCCATCACTCCGAATGCATTGGAATGGAGTCGAGTGGGGTCGATGGCCATTGGAAAGTCAACGGGACGCTGTTTTCGCCCTTCGCTGCGAAAGGTGAGTCGCTGACTGTGCTTCAGAACTTTGGGGAAGAGGTTGTTCGTTGATTTTGAATCGAATGGAATCGAATCGAATCATTCACATTCAATTCATGCATTGGATATTGGATGCTAAGTGCTCGAGGATCAAGAAAGAGCTTCCAAAGGAAGCACAAAACAACCTTTTTACACGTAACCTAAGGTACAGTGGTACAGTAAAGGTATAACCCCTCTAACAAACCAGGAATACAACCGTGTACATGGAGTACCAGGCTCTACGTATTACCCTGTCTTTCCTTACCTTTACGGTGTTTTGACCATTCTCGCTCACTGGAACATCGATACTGGTATAAACGAAGGACGGAATCCTGCTTTGAATGGACGAACGGAATCGCGAACTCAATGGAATCTCGATCTCGATTTCGTAGAGAGGATCTGCGAAAGAAGAAGAAGATCGCTGACACATCCAAGTCCTGGAAAACGCAAAGTCCTCGAAAATCGCTAAGTCAGAACGGCAAAGAGGAAATCCAGCAGATCACAAACAAGATAACAAAACACAACAAGAAACAGAAGAGTAACCACAAAAAATTCTAAAAACTAAAATGAAACATATAAAATTTGTTTTTGCTATGCCTACAGCAGGATCGCGCTGTAGGCTGGGGACCACCAAGGCAGCTCAACGCAAGCGTGGGTGGAAGCCGGTGGGCTGATTCTTCTTGTCATGCTTGAACTTGTTGATGATCTGGGTGACCGTAAGCCACCCGTAGGTGGCATAGATACGGTCGACCGCAGCCCTCCAATCGAAGCCCTTGGCCATCAACCGAATCACACAGTCCCACACATGCTTGCGGCGGCAGAACTTGTCCTTGACGCGGCCGCGCTCACGAGCAGCAAACTCGCATGCGGCCTTGTTCCCGTTCAGGCCCTTGATCCACTCGTCCCACAACTCGTAGAGGTTGAAAGGCTTCTTCGCAAGCTGTGCTGGGAGGGTAGCGGGTGTCGGGCCCCTTGCGGCAGGAGGACGGGCCAAACGCCCAGGACTCCTCGGTGGTGGTGGGGGAAGTCCTGCGCCACCTGCGCCAGCTGCAGCAGCACAACCACCGCCAGCTCCACCACCGCCGCCAGCTCCCGCAGCACCACCGCCGCCGCCAGCTCCACCGGCCGCACCAGGAAGAGGAAGCCTTGGAGCACCGTTGCCACCACCCCTCGCGATCAACGTGTTGGATTACCCAGGCCGAGAATGAGACTCGTGGTCGCTGGAAGGGAGAGAAAAATGGACACATCGTCCATGTTTACATCAACTGGAGCAGCTTCCCACCGACGCCAAGGTTGCTGGAACGCTCGCTGTTGGTGGTCCCGTCAAGTACAGCATCAAGGCTGACAGCGGTGTTGACCATGGGTTCATCGGTGAGCATGTTTGTCCGAAGATCTGTGACTTCTTCGCTGACGACCCAAGCAACAACATCGCCATGGTGCTTGGTCCAGCCTTGCTTTGGCTGCGATGGAACCTGGCTTGAGCATATATGACGGCTGAGATTCGCAACCGCATCCAGACGGAGTATGCCCAGCTTCGAACCACTTTGGATGAGGATCCTGGGGCCGACTACAACCCAGTGGCGAAGATCCCTCTGACAATATACAAGGTAGCCAATGCATTGCACATTACTGAGTTTGCTCCCACCGCCCAGGTCCAGCTGGTGCTGAGCCCTTTGTCGGAGGTGCTCCTGGTGGTGTCAACATGAACAGCTCAACCAATTGCTTGCTCTCCAACATAGGACTCAGCAGGCGATCGAGGAGGCCCAGCAGATCTTGCCAGGACATCAGCTCCTTGAGGGCTATGTCTCTACGAACATTGCCATCGTGAACAAGAATATTGGGAGGATCAACCACTTCC